CAAATACCAATGTGACTTTTTCCGAACTAAGTACCTATATGTAAATTCTAAAGACACCACTGACAAACGGTGAAGGAAAACATCGTGAGGAAACCTGGGCTTATCATTTCTAATTGTAAGTTTGAAATCGCCAACCCGCATTGATCAAGCGTAATGTTTAATGCTCAAACCTTCTCTGTGTGAGAAGAAGAGAAGCCTTTGGTCAGATTATACTTTAAACCCCATATAATAATATAACATCACGCCTTTTACCCCCGAAAGGGTATGCAGAGGTGGACATTACGGCACTTAATGCCACTGTACAATGTAACACTCACTTTTCACTATCTATGTTATGAGAATAGGGGGTGAGCGTATTGCTATATACCGGGCACAATTCTAGACTCCGTGCTACTGACGAGATTTTTAAAAAAAATCTTGTAATATTTTGCCCTTTGCCCGACCCGGGAATCGAACCCGAGACCCTTGCCCGGCCAACCAACCGCAACCAAGGCGGCCAACGAGGCAGTCTCACATATTATAAAAATAAATAATTAAAATATACCTAAGCAATGCTTAATCACCTATTTATTTTTACGATACCTTTGTATAAATAGGTAATTACCTAATTAGGTACTATACCTACTAGTACCTACTTATAAAAAAAATTTTTAACCTAATCTTATAAGGAAAATTATAACAATAATTAATTTCAAAACGTACTTAATAAAACCGTGATCATTGACTGTGACCTATCTATGAGCAAATTATAATAATTAAGCAGCACAAAAAATATCTTCACCATTGGTAAAAATAAAAGACAATAATATAATTTACAATTACGTAATTCACTAAGGCTCAGTGGCTTGCTATTGATGTTGTCTATCTAAGCAGTCATCATGGTGGCTCGAATCACTCGAATGTTAAGGCTTAAGTCCGACCAATGTGACATTTTCCCGAATTATCGATAGGTACTTTCTAAGATTATTTAGACACCACTGACATACAGCGAAGGAAAACGTCGTGAGGAAACTAGGGATATATTTTTCATCGAAAATTTGAAATTGTAGCGTATATTCAGATGCAGGCAGTGCCTATACACATGCGGGTTCGGTTCGTTTTGGACTTTTCAATTCGCCAATCCGCCTCAAGATAGAGTGTATGATGTTCTTACTTTCTACGTGGCAGAACAGACTTTTTTTTACATAACATAACATCACGCCTTTTATCCCCGAAGGGGTAGGCAGAGGTGCACACAGAAGTAAAACCCACTTTTCACTATTTATGTTATGAGTCCCATGTAATAGGGGGTGAGCCTATTGCCATATACCGGGCACATTTCCAGACTCCGTGCTACTAATGAGAATTTTTTATACTTTGCCCGACTCGGGAATCGAACCCGAGACCCCTTGCCCGGCAATCACACTCGCGACCATTCGGCCAACGAGGCAGTCTTTTTTTTTCTTTTTTAAGAACGTTGCCCCATAGTCCACACTAGGATTTTCTCCTGTGTCGTGGGTGCGTTTACAAACAAACAAGTTCACATACACTCATAACACCCAGACCCGGCACAACGATTTGTGGATTACACAAACAGTTGCTCCATGCGGGAAATTGAACCCGTGACAAGTTGCGCGCCAGCCGGTGACCCAGCCATGCTGTCATATGCACCAACTTTTGCTCAGCAGTGGACACTTATAGGCTGAAGGTGATTAAATAAGGAGTGTCGGGATCGGAAACGGGCTGATGATGATGCTGATGGATATTCACCAATTTTATAAGTTACTCACCAATCGCTGGTGCGGCCAAGAAGCACAACAACATAAGCGTCCTATACGTAGCCATGGTCCTTGCTTTACTGATAATCACTACACGTGACTACACATTATATACGTAAACACAGACACATTAAATTACCCTACACGGACAAAATACTCAAAAGATTTCCAACCTTACGACTTTCAGTTAAAGATTAAGATTGATTAGATAATATTCGTAATTTTGGGTAGCTAGATGAGCTGTCTACCTGATAGGACAGTGCTTACATTAATACATATACTGCACACGGCTTTAATCATTGATACATTTGGTAAGAAATCAATCAAAAGAAAATTAATCTAGTCCAATTAGCTGTCAAGAGCTTGTTGTTTCATTGTTTCTATTGAACATTTTAATCTCTGGGTAAAACCTGTAGGTATATACCAAGCTTTTTTATTTAGTAGCATTAGTCTTGAAGATCATCAAACAACCCGTAAAAGTTTATTTTTGGACTATACGGGCCTCTACATAAGGGTTTGCCAATAGTCTCAATTTTTTTTTGAAGGAGGTAAGTCATCCATCTCCTCCCGCCTTGAGTGAGGCAAGTGGGAGTGTCAGACTCTTACTGAGTAAAAACCACCCCGATCCTACTCCTGCTTAAAGCTCCGGTTAGAGACGGGCTTTGCGGACGACCTTGCGTTGGTTACCTACCAACGCTCCGGCGTCGTCTGCTTCCCTGCAATTTCTACGCTACGGTTGGGTTGCAACATCGAGATCAAAAAGGTTCAGGTTTATTAAAATATCCAAGAGTAGGATAGGGATTAAAAAATAAAAAATGCGGTACTTAACTATTTGCCCGATTGCGTCATCGGCCCAGGCTTGTGCCGTACAAGCGCGACTACTACCTACTACTAAGCAATGGGTATTAGGATCGAATTGGTATGTCGGGTTTTTTTTTAATAGGGTTTTAATTATGACCCGGGGATATTAACAATGGTAACAGGCCCAGGCTCATCGCATTCCGCATATAAGGTTGCAAGACATGGGACTTACAACTGGTAAGAAAAGTGGATGTAGTGTTTCGTTCAAAACGTGCACATCTTGCTGCTCTGCACTCTTTAGGGGATTCAAACGCGTGACGTTATGATATTTATTTATTCCAACTAATGTACCTACCTAGATAATAATCCAACAAAAGTATGTACCACGTGGAATCTGACGCTCTGCTCTGCTATGATGACTTTATTGCTCAGGTTATTGTAAGATTGTGGGCAATTCAAATCTTTACAAAAATTGATCTTGCGTGATCCAACTGTTATTTGATTTCTTAACAACATTCTTTATAGCTATGTTTGTTTTCTCTTTTACAAGGCTCCTGAAAATATTTAAAAGAAATGAAAAACACAATGCTTTCAATAATGTTATAGGTATGTAGACACCACTCTTCCGACCATAGTATACCTAAGTCTTGTGTCCATAGTATTGAGTCATAATAATGAGGCTGGCTGAGCCTGGTAAAGAGGCACGTGTTGACTGATTAAGGCTAGTGATGATCTATAAATGTTAATTAAAATTAAAGGTAGAAGCATTGTAGTGTAGATATCTATCGGGCAATACCTATGAAAAACAATTGAATTGGACTTTGCTCATTAGTTTTTGTAAAAAATAAACAATGTATTTATATTATCTTCTAAAAATCATTACGTTTTATACACGTTCAAGATTAAATCTTTCGGTTTTTCTGTATTTGCTACTATACCATAGAGATTTTATCATTTTAATCCCTTATTCAATCTAAATCTTATGATTGGAATCACAGGCATGAATCAAAATATATGTTTGATAAACAAACTGTAGATAAAGCTCCTGACCTATGATTTATGTAGGTACCTCGATTACCGACTGTAACTTGCCGTCGCACGGCACTATTTTCGTCCACATGATGTGAATTCAGATAATTTTTTTTTTTATAATTATTGGAGTTAGAGCGGACATTCCTAAAAAAAGGAAGTGCTTTTTTCAAGGAGGAAAATCATCGAATGACTTCTCGCACTTAATGTCAGACTCTTACTGACTAAAACCACCCCGTTCCTTCTCCTGCACTTCGAGCCGGAGTCCCGGTAACCTTTTATGTTCTCTGCGGCTCCGTATCGGCATCAGGCATCAGCCCTATTGAGTCCCATCCGTGGTGGTCTGATGGCTGTTTGAGGCGCGCGCGGAACACGGTTCGCCATACTTAAGTCCTGATGTAAAAATTGAGGCGAGACTAGTCTCAATATTCACTAGACTAGACTGAACACCGTATACCGATGGCCTCAATGCCTACTGATTTTGACTGAAGTTTCAAGAGAATTTCTAGTCTCTACAGTCTACATTGATATAATGAATGAAGTTTAGTTACCACCATATTATGTTTCGAATTAATAATTTTACATGCTACTCGTGTAATTAATACATATTATTATCAGGACCAGCGAAAGCGGTGATAATCTGAAGAACTTTCGCATCTTAAGACTTTTTATAACGATAAAATCTAGAGGCGTCTTGAATTTCGATTATTTATTACCTTCGTATTATACTAATTTACGCGTTATCAGCAAAATCACAATTACAAGATAAATCAATTAAGGTGGTCTGATATTTTTCTGATACCTAAATAATTTTGTGTAAACAACAGTGATAATATAAATGAAACACTTTAAATAGGTACCTACTTAGATACCTATCTATTGTTTGGAAAAATTGTAACAATGGGAAGGTAAGTAGGTCTGTGTCCGAAAACCTCTCTACTTACATTAATGGTAGACAGGAACGGAATAGGGAACAGCTGGGTACGACCATGCGGTCGATCGAGATAAGCACTTCGTGCAAATTTTGGACTGAAATTTTACGGACGACCGTAAGTAACTGTGCAGTTAAATCGTAAATTCATAAGGCGTGTAGTGTGCATTACGCTTTCGATCACGTGACCTTTGCATTCACACAAAATTTAGATAAAAAGGCCCGTGTTCCAGACTATAATCTACTTCTGTAATACCATTGCGCAGTTTTTATGTGATTCAGTCAAACAAACATCCATCAAAACTTTCACATTATGAGACGTTTGAGAGGATCTTTATCATATCAGTGGGATAAGTGGATAAAAATACCTAAACAAAAAAAAAGGTTTATACTTTCTGATAATGTCAACGTCTATGGTCAAAGTAAACTACAATGACACTGTCATCTGTCATACCATTCAAGATGTCAATGTACCATCCATATTGTCACTGTCAAATTGGTAAACAAAATCAAATCAACAAGTTAAAACAGGACCCAAGAAAGTATTTCCATTGCCATTTACGATAATGGATCAAAATATTAAAAAAAACACGTCCATCACGAAATTCGACGTTAAAGGCAGAACGCTGTATGTTAAAGTGTTATGGAAACACAATAATCATGACTTATTTCACATCAAGATTTTTGACGGCGAAGTATCATGGACAGGGAAATTTACAAACGACATTGCTAAAAAATACAGAGAACGTTTTGAAGAATCTGAGGAACAGTACATTAAACAAGTGAAAAATAATTTGAAAGGACGTGACCATAGTGGCTTTACATACGATTTTATAGTAAATCCGGATGATGATAACACCGCTACGTTTACCTGGAAAAAGAAGTTCCAAGACTCGATGCATGGACTCGCACTCCTCGTCCACGGCTCAGTACAAGTGTACCGTGACACTGCCAAGGAGTCTAAAGACTTGCTACTAGACTTTTTAATAGAAGAGAATAAAGAACTGAGAAATGTTATACACGATCTAAATGGCAAAAACGATGTTATCGACTCAGATTTGAAGAAATGCAAAGCCGAATTGGAAAAGTTTGTGGATATCAAATCCTCTTTGGAGACAAGTCTTTATGGGAAGTTTGTGCAGCTGCTGAATGCTAAGAAAAGAAGAATACAGGTTATGGAAGGGGGCTTACGGAAATTTTCTGATGTTTTGGCTACTAACCAATGACCAATAATAAATTGTGAAAATATGATAGAAGCAAGAAGTTCACTTGTATCAACATTATCTTTCCAGTTTCCTATCTACTTGCATTTGTTTCTTGAACCAACTTAAATTTTGTTATAGACGAACTAATTGAAATAAACTTGTGTTAGAAAACAATGATGTTACCTATATTAAATGTTTATTATGAAATGATAGAAAATGGAATAAAACCACAAATATAAATAATAAATTATATATTTTTATAAAAAGTTGCTCTTGTTTTAATTGAAATTGAAACTATTTAGTAACTTCTTCCAAAGAGTGTGATGAACTTGGGTTTGTTAGTGCATGATGGGTTGATGCATTTGTCTTCTACAGTGAGTTCACGAGGCTGCTTGAATGGTATGCAGAGGGACTTGGCACCCATGGCTGGAGCCTTCACTTCGGTTGTTGGGTCATCATCCGTCCTGTAGATGTTAAAATACTTGTTAAAAATATTGAAATGTCAAAGTTAAAACAAAGCTTTAATATTGCTTTCGCACAGTTGAAAATTAAACAAAAAAAATACTGTTTTAGGTATTTTATCTGTGCAGTGGTAGAATCTAATGGGTGAACAGATTGTAACTCCTAGTCACTAGTAACTAATTTATCTATAGTTGTATGTTCATGTGCCTGTATTAGTTTTGGTAGTAGTCAATAAACGGTTGCTAAACAGAGGATTATTATTATTATATGTGTCATTACCATTCACAGGACCACAGGGTCCCGGTCAGTTGGGAGGCGTATGAGGGTCCTATTGTTATAAGTTTTGGATATTATCCTACATAGTTGTATACACACAGAACATAATAAAAGAAGTAACTCACCTAGCACTGTCATTCTTGATTTTATCTTCACAAGGTATCTCTCCACAGAACGGCGCCAGTAAGATGAACTTACGCTCCAGAGCGTTGGTGAAGTCATCCCATTTTGTAACCAGAGATAATCTCGCATCTCGCTCTTTGGTTGCCCTATAAAACATTATTTTAGTTTTAAAACCTCCATGGAGTTTGTTTCCGTTTCTTCTCAGAGTAGTCACATAGGAAATGCCTAACAACCTGAGAGGTCATCTATTTTTATTTAGAAAAACAAATAGTTTAACTGAGACTTGAAGCGAATTCTGTAACCATACCATATTATAAAGGTGAAGAGCGCTAATCTCCAGAACACTGGTTCAAATTGAAGATTATTTTGTGTTGGAGAGTCAATTTATCGACGAAGGATACAAAGCCATAAAACATATTATGCTCAATAGTAATCAAGTAGTGGGTGATGTGATACCATGTGGGAGTGGCTAGCTAGTTGAACTCGATAGATGGATTTTGAAGTAACACCAATCTACAGTTTAAACATACTTATCAAACATCTGGTTATGTGTTTGGTCCAGCAGTTCCAGCAGTAGTTTCCCGGCGACCGCGCGTTTGAACGTCTTCTTGTCCCCGGTCAGACGCTGCACTGCCACTATCTCACCGCGCGCCATGTCCTTGGGACCCAGTTCTACGCGCACTGGTACACCCTAAAGAAAGAAAGAAAGAAAAATAATTTATTTGCCATTAGGCTTTATGCACCAAACACACAAATCTATATATATAAAATTCAAAGGTGATTGACTGACTGACTGATTGACTGACTGACATAGTGATCTATCAACGCACAGCCCAAACCGCTGGACAGATTGGGCTAAAATTTGGCATACAGATAGATGTTATGACGTAGGCATTCGCTAAGAAAGGATTTTGATAATTTCCACCCCCAAGGGGGTAAAAAAGGGGATGAAAGTTTGTATGAAACTTTGTCAGTTTTTAACTGATCGGGTTGAAATTTGGCATGCAGATAGATGTTATGACGTAAGCATCCGATGTGAAAGGATTTTGATAATTTCCACCCCCAAGGGGGTAAAAAAGGGGATGAAAGTTTGTATGAGACTTTGTCAGTTTTAAACCGATCGGGTTGTAATTTGGCATGCAGATAGATGTTATGACGTAAGCATCCGCTTTGAAAGGATTTTGATAATTTCCACCAAGGGGGTAAAATAGGGGATGAACGTTTGTGTGAGGCTTTGTCAGTTTTACACCGATCGGGTTGAAATTCGGCGTGCAGATGGATATTATGACGTAAACGTCCCTTTAGAAAGGTTTTTGAACATTCTCACCCCAAAGTATGATACTTTGCCAGTTTTAAATTGATCGGGCTGAGACTTTGCATGCATAAAGTTACTATGACATAGGTATCTCTTTAGAAAGGATTTTGATAAATTCCACCCCTAAGGGGATAAAATAGGGAATGAGAGTTTGTATAAATCTTCTTAGCCGTTGAATTTAGAATCATTGAATCTTTTTGAATTACATTCGGTAAAACGATGATTTGGGACCTGGGTAACGTATGATAGTTTTTTCACAGATGTCTCACGAGAACGGGAACTATGCGTCAATGCCCCAGGACTCTCTAACTCTTAACCACTGAACTTATTCTAGAGAGATTCGGTACAACAATAGTCGATAGAATAGTTTTTATTACTCAAACCTTACGTGATCGGGCGCTGTACTGGTAAGATCCCTGCGGGATTATTTATTTATTGAAACTACGATAAATCATTTCAAAATAGGTAAATCTTACTTGGGCACTGAATTGATTCTGGTTAATTCTGTCAGAAGTCATTAATCTACGCGGACGAAGTCGCGGGCAACAGCTATCTACACATATAATAAATCGTAGAAAAGTCAAAACTGTACATTAAATATTTTTTAAAAGAATATTTGAAGCGTGATCTCTAATCGATACCGAAGCCAATAATGTGGTTTTTAGAATTTTTGTCTGTTTGTCTGTATGTATGGCCGTGATGATCTCAAAAAGTACTGCACTACTATTTCAAATTTTGCATGAATATTACTAACAAGTCTGGTAAACATATAGGCTACATATTATCACGCTATCATCTACGGGACTGAATCAATTCTGACGACATCCATTACCGTAGAATATCCCTTGATAAAAACTAATTCAAAAGCCTAAATTCTGCCAGAAGTCATTATTCTATGCGGACGAAGTCGCGGGCAACAGCTAGTATTAAGATAAAAAATAATAACAACAAAAAATAAATGATTAAAAACAAAAAAAAAGAACAATAAAAATTATTGTATTTAAATAGATATCCCTTAGTTTAGAGAAGACTATCTGACTCAGGAATAAAGCCTGAAACTATAAAATTTATAGGTAGGAGCAAATCCATGGCCTCAAGAAGTAATGGCCGTCTCGGCGAGAGATGCCTTAGCTTTTCTGTTTCTTAACACAATGTGTAGAAGTGGTGGATCTGCTAGTTAGTAGAGATGGAGCAGACATTAAGTCTACTTTCCAATATAGAGACTATGGCGACTATGGCGACCCTTGGCGACGCTTGAAATTAGTCAGGTTATATCGTCGAACACCTACGTAAGGCATATCACCTATGTGGGATTAATTTTAATGATTATTGTACTAAATATCCATACCTTAAGCTCCCAATGGTTAAACTTCCATCCAGGCGAGTAATTATCTCTATAATCTCCTTCAGCTCTGATGCCAGCAGCGAGCAAGTCTTTAACGAGATCCTTGCAAGAATCCATGAGTTTGTTCCTCTCCTCCGTAGTGCTTGAAGCGGTGATACCACAGGGGACTACTATTGCTTGGATATCTGCTATTCTTGGTGGGAGGACCAGACCTTTGTCGTCACCGTGGACTAGGACCATTACACCTGGAAGTAAAAATTTGTTAAGTATTTGATTAGAAAAAAAAAATATAAGGAGGTTTAAAGAAAAAAGTAACATGCTGTCATTTCAATTCAACATCCTTCCGATAGATGAAATTAAAAAGCAAAAGAACAAAAAATGTTTCAGTAACTCGGTAGACAAAAATCATTATGCAACCATAACATACTATAAAGCAATAGGCATACATTCTCTAAAGGCATAATAAATTAGGCATAAATTCTGGTAAAGTAAGCTATATTGAATAGAAACGACGTAGAGTACATACCAATAGTTCTGGTAGTGATACCCCACGAGTTCTGGTAGACATACTTCTTCTCCTGCGTGTCGGGGTCGTCGTACACCACCTCGAACATCTTCGAGAAGTTCTGGCCGAGGTGATGACTTGTGGCTCCCTATTGCACACATTTTAAAATTCAATATTTATAAGGAGGTTGTGGCAGGATTGACAAGAAAACAATTACAGTTTAACAAAATTTCCTCATTAGAGAGAGAGAAAGGGATAGCTGACTACTATCTCATCTCAGAAGAATGTAGAAAAGCATTTGATAATGTACGTTGTAATGTACGTTGTAGCTCATATTTATGGGCAGATGTTATGATTTTATTATGGTTTTATTTAATAATAAAACCCATTCTACATTTGCAAAAAAACGTTATCCCCATTCCCGTACCTGAATAGCTCGTCCACTGGCAGGTATATAGGCCTCTACGGTGGTAGTATAGTCTCCGCCGGCAAACTTCTCCTTCTCAGTCTTACGACCCTTGATCACTGGGATAGCCATCAGCTCCTCGTAAACACGGGCGTAGAGATCTGTTATAATTGAAGAAAATAATAATATTTAACTAAAAAACACGCTTGTAATGAAGCTAAAACATATAAGACTAGACTTAAAAGTCGGAAACCTGACTGATATTTATACAGGAAGATATAGGTGGATATTTTTTTACGACAAGCCACGCAGATATAAAGCTAATATTGTTTAAGCTCCATTGCTGACTTCCTAATAGAAAAAAGTAATAATAATAAAAAGCAATATGTACCGAGTATCTGCAAGACTTCCTCAGCGGCTTCCTCCTGCAACCTGAATGCAGTGTGTCCCTCCTGCCAGAGGAACTCACGAGTACGGAGGAACGGCTGGGGCTGCTTGAACTCCCATCTCTAGAACGGAAACAAATAATGTAGTACTATTGAATTTTACATAGTTGGACCACTTTATTTGAATAAATTGCCGTATGAAAATTTTTTTTTTAATAAAAAAAATAGTTAAAAATCAATAATAGAAACATTATTGGCATTCGACATTATTAAGTCTGCACGGTTGGTGCGGTGGCTGGCTGCCGCGCAACGTGTCGCGGGTTCGGCTCCCGCACGGAACAACTCTTTGTTTGTTTGTAAACGCACCCACGACACAGGAGAACATCCTAGTGCGGGCCAACATTTTTATTAAAAAAAGCGACGTATAACCGCGAAATGACGAAACTGCCGATTAAGGGTGCTCGTTTTCTAATAATATGTTAAGTTGTAATTATTCTCAGAAGCAGTATTTAAGTGTGGGAGAGCCATGCTTCGGCAAGAATGTGCCGGCTCGACCGGAGTGATACCACGGCCTCACAGAAAACAGACGAGAAACAACGCTTGCGTTGTGTTTCGTCGTGTGAATGAGGTTATCGGAGGCCCAATTACCTTCCCCTTCCCCAACCTCCCCAATCCCTGAATCCCCAACGATCCTCAAACTCCTAATCCCCAAAAGGCCGGTAACGCACTTGTAACGCCTCTGATATTCCAGGTGTCCATGGGCGACGCCGATTGTTTACCATCAGGTGATCCCTCTGCTAGTTTACCGGTTTATGCCATAAAAAAATAAAAAATGAAGGAGGTTAAAATACACCCACTTAATAACACAAACCAAATGATTTCCTTTACACAACAATACAAAAAAAATATCCTCACCACAACATTATTCCACTGGTTCAGTTTATAGGGCAGGTCGCGATGGCTCTGTATCCACTTGGCGTACGCTGGGTACATGACAGTCTCCGACGTCGGCCGGATGGCGATGTGCTCGGCCAGCTCCGACGTACCGGAGTGGGTGACCCACGCTACCTCGGGGGCGAAGTCCGCTATGTGATCCTTTTCGCGTTCTAGAGCGGCCTGGGGAAAGAAGCGTTTATACTGATTATAATAAATGTGATCATCATTTGAGATAGTGGACAAATACGACCGTTTTTGAAAATTCTTAGTAATGTAAGAAACGGCGTCTGGAATGTTAATTTTTATTTAATAGTAACATAACATCACGCCTATTAGTAACATAACATTAATGCCAATGTACAATGGCACCTACTGATTACTATTTATGTTATGAGTCCCATTTAATAGTAGGTGAGCCTATTGTCATATACCGGGCACAATTCCAGACTCCGTGCTACTACTGAGAATTTTTAAAAACCCCAGTAATACTTTGCCCGACCCAGGAATCGCCAAGACAACCCCCACACCAACCCAAGACCCCTTGCCCGGCAGTCGCACTTGCGACCACTCGGCCAACAAGGCAGTGAAATCTGTTTTATAATATGTAGAGATAGAACACAAATCACATACCTTAGACACAAATATAGGGAAGTATCCGTCCTTAACGCCGAGCTTCCTGAACTCAGCGCTGAGGAAGTTCCTGATACAGTCCCAGATACTGTACGACCACGGCCGCAGGATGTAACAGCCGGAGATGTCGTAGTAGTCTATCATCTCCGCTGTAGAAGACACAGGTAAATATTAAAATATTTTATTTATTTATTTTTATTTATTTATAGCATTTACCTAATAATATGACATATAACAACAAATCCCAATAAACTGTCATCTATACATATATGTACTTATGTACATAATATAATAAAATCGTAAAAAAGTGAAAACTGTACCTACATAGAATATTTTTTTAAAAGAATGGTTGGGGCGTGATCTACATTCGATACCGGAATCAAAAATATGGATATTAGGTATTTGTCTGTATGTATGTCCGGGATGAAATCAAAAAGTGCTACATGGATTTACTTCAAATTTTGCATGAACATTACTAACAGGTCGGGTCAACATATAGGCTACATATTATCATGCTATCAACTACGGGGGAGGAGCAGTGAATCAGTATTCCACGCGGACGAAGTCGCGGGCTCAGCTAGTATTGTAATATATGTAATATCATGTTGTATATGGATTCATAAGTCAGTGCAAAAGATAAGAGTAAATGTCTCGTTTATTTTTATGACTGCACAGTTGGTGCGGTGGCTGGGCAACCGGCTGCCGTGCAACGTGTCGCGGGTTCGATTCCCGCACGGAACAACACTTTGTGTGATCCACAAATTGTTGTTTCGGGTCTGGGTGTCATTGTGTATGTGAACTTGTATGTTTGTAAACGCACCCACGACACAGGAAAAAATCCTAGTGTGGGGCAACGTTTTAATTTAAAAAAAAAAAAATTCCTAGCAATAAATATTGCGCATCGATCTTTGGAAAGACACAACCGCGTCAAGTTGCCGTGTATACTGCTCATGGTCATAAGCCGTTAACACTAGTCGAACATACTACTCAAAAACGACCCTACAGTTACAGCATAAAGTCCACTGTGTCCAATTTATATTTGCGTTTGGTAGAGTAACTGTGTCTAGGGATTAAGCCGCATAATTAAATTTGTTTTTTTGTATACATATATACCTATACTTTTTCGGAATAAAAATTATTCAGTGTTGTGCCCAGAATATTAAAATATAATCATACGAAGTTTCGTCGTAATCGGACCGGTAGTTTTTGCGTGATGCGTGAACATACATACAGACAGACAAACGTTTTTTATCACATTTTTGGGTTCGGTAACTATCTATCTAGTAACACCCCCTACTATTTATCTTATAATTTTTTCAATGTACTCAATTTACACTTCTACAGTTTTGTTATATGTATAGATTGAAAAGGAAAAAGATTTGAAAAAATGTATGGAGCCGAAATGATCTCCTTTAAAATATACATATTGAATTTATTGAGTTTTCTCACCTTCTAACGAAATAAAAGCTTCAGTAAATAAAATAGAATGAGACTAAACAAGTTCTACTTACATTTGGTGATGACTTGTGAGTACCATTCCGGCAGGTCTGTGTCCTTGCTGGCTTCCAGACCCAGCCTGGTGACTTTCTTTACTCCAGATGAGGACTCTTCTTTGGCTGGCTTTGGGGACTGTCAACAATAAATATAAATGTTGTAAAATACAATTTGATTTATTTATTTATAATATATAGTCTTTAATGTACACAATTTGATTAAAATGGGAACATAAGGCGAAGTTAAAGCCATATGGCATTCTATTCTCTGCCAGGCATCTTAGAGTTTAAGTCCGAAAAAAAAATATTGCTCATGTTTAAATACTTAGAGCCAATTTTTCAATGCTCACATATTTTTTAACTTTTAATATTTGACAATTCTTCGATACTATAAACTGTCGATTGTCAATTTTATTTTACGATTAAGAATTAACTGATAACCGAAACATCGGCCCTTAATAGATAAAATTAATTAGAAGGTACGAGGTGAAGTTGTATCAATTTTATGAACCCCGGTTGTGGTTTGAAACTGTTCGAGCATGCATTTCAATGTGTATGCTTTTATTTTAATGGGTATGTGCACAAAATGTACAGTACAGTTAGGTACAAGGTCGTAATATAAGTCGGGGAGAACCTAACGGGTAACCGGGGCTCCGGCTCGTCGTGCAGGAGAAGGAACGGGTTGGTTTTTAGCCAGTAAGAGTCTGACACTCCCTCCCGCCTCACCCAGGCGGGAGCAGTCATTCGATGATTTACCCCCTTAAAAAAAAAGGTCGTAATATAAATATAACGTTGGTAGTTATTGCACAATAAAGCAGTACCCGTCTTTGATTTCTACTTTACTGACCTGTTCCTTAGCCTTAGCTTCTTTCTTGACCTCCTTAGGTTTATCTTTCTTCTCCTTGGGTTTGGGGTCGCGTGGTTGTACTGGCGGCGCGAACGCAGTGCCTGTCTCCGCCTGGTACAACGCCTTCAGTTCTAGAAGCTTCTTTACTTCCGCATCTACTGTGGCCTAGAGAAATAGAATGAAGAATTTTTAATTCTTTAGGTGCGCATTATTCTTTGACTCGAATAAATAACAGCCGAAAGCAACTATTTATACAGTTTTAAGTAGTTTTTAACATGGAATCTATGATATAAGAATATTTTTTTGTAATTTCGCAGTCATAATGTTACGTATGTATATTACTATATTACATAGTGTTAGACGACGAAAATCAACTAAATGAACGTCACTATTAATCTGTGTTATTGACAGCACACTGTAAATAAATAAAAAAAATTTTTTTTTTCTTCTTTGGCAACCGATTTAAAAAAAATGTGTGTTAAATAAAAAAATAAAAAAAAACTGTGTTGCTGTCATAGTGACGATGTCATCTGTCAAGTGTGACAAAGTTTCCCGCGCAAAGAGTTGTAACGTGCTTTCGGGTTGGAAGTTAGAACAAGCATTATACTGTTCATATAAGAAGCTAGTTTACAATAAACTTTTTCCAGTATTGAAGTATTGAGTTTTACTTAGAAATATATGTGTATAATTTTATTTTAATTTTCAGCCATGATCGTTCCACTATATGTATACATATTTATAATTTATTTTGAGAAATCTACACTATATTAACAAAATGTGGAGTCTTCGTTACGCGAACTTCGACCTTCTGTTTGGATCACCCGTAACATTTTGAGAATTACTATTAATAAAAATAATTTATGGGGCCTACTTTTACTCACTAGATGAGACTAATGTGAGGCTCTTGTTCTCAGTCCAATTGGAAATTAACTAGTATCACGCCATTGGTGTTTCAATATTTGGCAGTTGCTGTGATTGGACAGAAGGGCCCCTTCCCACATTTGTGTCATATGGTGAGTAAAAACACGTTAGAACCCATTCGACCTACTAATATGAACTTCTTAATATCAAAGCATGATCCATCAATTACCTTGTCAGCTTTCTTCCCCTTGAGTTCCCTAACAAGGTCTCCCTGCTTAGTGATCTGCGCGCCGAGCTCCGTCGCCTTCGCACTGCCGCCGTTCATGGCTGCTGGTGTAGAGTCCGTCTATAATAACATATAATATCCATTACTTTTATATCTCAAAGTAGTAGTTAAAAAGCTAGAAATAACGCATGGCAAAAGGTAGCTTTAACATAATAAATAAATACAAAAATCATTTCATATAAACGTTTCTTTGCGACGTGAAAGAAAGACAAATACCTAAATAAATACACTTTCGCATTAAACTGCCGATTCTCCAAGCAGTCACCGGTGTTTAGAGACTACTTTTGTATGAACGAATGTTGTGGATTTTTCGTATATGTATATTAAGTGAACAAGAATTCCATATTGATGATGATTGCTATAAGTGGTACCTATTTTTCTCTAAAAATCGCGGGTTATTCACGAGAAAATACTGAGAAAAGTTCGACTAGTTTTTTCTACTAGACCTTCAATTTTGGAGCCACAGAGGGATTCTTCCTACTGGGCAGCGTTCGCGGTCGCGGCGATGTCGCGCACCCTACTAACAATTACACTACAACCTATTTTTGTTATTTATTTCTCTTGAATCACAGTTCGCTTGTAAAACATTGATTTAAGTAATTTATTCAAAGGATTCCTAGTAAGATTTTGTACCTTAGTTTCAACTTTGGTTGGTGCAGAAGCGGCGGCGGGTGTCCAGTCAGTGCCAGTTATAGCTTTGTACTGCGCCTTCAAGTTTAGAAGATTCTTCACCTATGAAATTAAATATGATTTTATTTCAAATATAACATTTAACTTCCTAAGGGCAAAAGCAAATTACTTTATATTAAAATGAAAGACTAAGAACTATTTTTCGGCAGACTGCATTCCTACATTATCTAGCAAATTCCAACCAACAAGTTTAGATATAAAGTGATATTAGTAATGCTGACCTTTATAAGTTTTTTACACTATTTACATAATATTTCTTATGAGATAAGTCGGTAAACGAACAGATGGGTCACCTGATGGTAAGCAATCGGCGCCGATCATAGATAGCCGAAACACCAGAGGCGGTACAAGTGCGTCACCGGCCTTTTGGGAATTAGGAATTTAAAGATTGTTAGGCATTCAGGAATTGAAGAGATTGGGGAAGGGTGTAATTGGGCCTCCGGTAACCTCACTCACACGACGAAACACAACGCAAGTATGGTTTTACGTTGGTTTTCTGCTCGGCCGCAGTATCGTGCCGGTGGAGCCAGCCCATTCGTGCCAAAGGATGGCTCTCTCAATTGGTGATTGATGGTCAGGTGGTGTCTATTTACCAAATACCGTTTTATACGTATAAACCAAACTTTTGAACATAATTACACAATTCCAATTTATTCCAACTCACCTCAACATCGATCACGTTCTTCTCAGCCTTCTCAGCCTTGACCTTCCTGACCTTATCTCCCTGAGCAGCGATCTGTTTGAGTAGCAGTGCGACCTGCTTACTGTCGTCAGTCTCCGACTGTTTCTGTTGAGCTGGTGCAGGAGACGCGCCTGGCTTCCAATCCTAGCGGAAATAGTAGTTGAAGGTTTCGATGATGATATTTTACAGGCAACTAGACTAATTTCGTCGTCGTTTTGTCGCGCTACGCTACTCAATACACATGGCTATGAACCCCTAGCGTAACTAGAAAATAATTGTGTTATGTCCAAATACTGCCTCGTCGGCCAAGTGGTCGCAAGTGCGACCTGTCGGTCCGACAAGTCCCGGGTCGGGCAAAGTATTACTGGGTCTTAAAAAATTCTCAGTAGCACGGAGTCCAGACTCCGTACTACTGCCCTCATAGGCTCACCCCCTATTACATGGGATTCATAACATAAATAGTGAAAAGTGGGTGTTACATTGTACAGTGGCATAATGTGCACCTCTGCTTACCCCTTCCGGGATAAAAGGCGTGACGTTATGTATGTCACGAGACTTATGATACACGTTAAAGAAACTTGAGAAAGTCCCCCATTTTAAGACTCACCTGTCCCGTAGCAGCCTTATATTTGGCCTTGAGGTCTAGCAGGGCCTTGACAGCCTCGTCGACCTTCGCCTTCTCGGCCTTAGCGGACTTCAGGGAGCGGACCAGGTCTCCTTGCTTGGTGATCTGCTCGTTAAGTGATGCTGCGTCACTAGATGTAGATGGTGCTGCAGCAGGTTTTGAAGCAGCAGGTGATGGAGCTGCGCCAGGTTTCCAGTCCTGAATTGGATGAGGTATTTAAAAAAGGTTATTCTTAAAAACCTATCGTTAGCGTTGGTTGATTTGACTACTAGTGATAGACTTGACATAGGTCCCGAACCTTTAATACCAAATGTACCAGTAATTACATAATTGAAATTTGTTGTCCGACAGTAATTGTAAATGAGCGTTAGTGACTTATTTAAATCAAACTAGTTGTTTTAAAAATATAAAGTAGGTATGACACGTTCGTACATTTCTGCCACCAGTAAAATAAAAAATAGCGTAGAACACATAAATAACCCTTTATTTTCAATTATTTCAACAATACTAAGATGAATGAATTAAAACAGGATTTTCATTTAACAAGAATTACGATAAAACATATACTACCTGTCCAGTAGCAGCCTTATATTTGGCCTTAAGGTCCAACAGAGCCTTGACAGCCTCGTCGACCTTCGCCTTCTCAGCCTTAGCGGACTTCAGGGAACGAACCAGGTCTCCTTGCTTGGTGATCTCCTGGTTGAGGGATGAAGCGTCACCGGACGGACTTGGGGATGATTTTGGGGCTGGAGCTGCACCTGGTTTCCAGTCCTAGAAGAAATGAAGAATTTAATATTAGTTCCTGTTATTTTTTTCCACCCGTACGCTTCACATAGGTATCGTATGTTACACATTTAACAGAGACTGAGCTGTAGCGGTCTCAGTCTCATACCTAAACATGAACCTAAAAGATTCTGCTGTGATCTCTAATTCGCCTGCGAAGCGTGGAGATTAGCACCGTCCAGCAATACACTGCCACGGACGGTTCGTGATAGTTCATTATCTTTCTCTCTTCATATTTCTATCATCATATTAGATATCTTTTTGGTCGCAAAAAAGATTTTCAAATTGACAAATTTCTTCCTCTTGTAGTCCTTCGAAAAACATGTAATTTTATGACTTACCTGTCCAGTCGCAGCCTTATATTTGGCCTTGAGGTCTAGCAGGGCCTTGACAGCCTCGTCGACCTTCGCCTTCTCAGCTTTAGCGGACTTCAGGGAGCGGACCAGGTCTCCTTGCTTGGTGATCTCCTGGTCTAGAGACGCTGCGTCACCGGACGGAGATGCTGGTGCTGCTGCGGGAGCTGGAGCCGCGCCTGGCTTCCAGTCCTGGATGATGAACAGGACAAAATATTGTATAAATATTTTTATATTGTGTAATTAACATTAGAGCCAGGAAATCAAAAGGTTCAATATGCGAGAATTAGTGATTTTTAATTATCAAAAACAATTATATGCAATGACGCTATATGCTCAAATAAGTACCCGATTATAGTCTTTTTTTTTAAGGGGGGAAAATCATCGAATGACTGCTCCCGCCTGGGTGAGGCGGGAGGGAGTGTCAGACTCTTACTGACTAAAAATCACCCCGTTCCTTCTCCTGCACGTCGAGCCGGAGCCCCGGTTACCCGTTAGGTTCTCCGCGACTCCGAATCGGCATCGACCCTATTGGGCCCCATCTGTGGTGGTCTGATGGCTCTTTGAGGCGCGCGCGGAACGCGACGCGCCGTACGCTCGGGTCTGTTTCTGGTCGGACGGGGAGCCACCCATGCTCGCCGTCCGCAGGCCCGCGCTTACGGTGGCCGGAGATCGTCCCGCGATCCCCGACGCCCGGTGTGTCCTTCGCGATGGCTGGGTTGCGAGGAGGCAGCGCTTCGCTGCCTCACGCGTCCCGCCTCCTCCTTAGCTAGCATGACTGCTTCGCAAAAGGAGGAGACGGCATCCCAATCCCCCTCGCTCCGCATCATGGCCTGCACTAGGCCCGGACGCGAGAGGTCGCCATCGCCGATCACTTCCCTGAGGACACGGCGGTGCTCAGCCCACGCAGGGCATTCCGCTACAGTGTGTTCCACCGTGTCCTCAGGGCGGTCCTCGCAGTGATGACACCCGGGCGTTTCCTCCCGCCCCATCAGACACAGGTACCTCCCGAAACTTCCATGTCCGGTGAGGACCTGCGTCAGGCGGTAGGTGAGGACGCCGTAACGTCTCTCAAGCCACTCCTCAAAGAGGGGACTTACCGCTGCGATGGCAGCGAGCCCAGCCCTCGGTTGCGACAGTCGTTGCTGCCATTCCGCCATGAGATCGCGCCGGAGCTCTTCCCGCCACGCACTTATCTGTGTTTCGCCCCGGCGACGTGCCTCCGCGCGCATACTCGGTTATAGTCTAGAGACTGATGATAGCAGATCTACAATTCATATGTTTGTTTGTTCAGCTTTCACGCCATAACTACTAAACCGATTGCTTTGAATTTTTGCAGATGTATAGTTAGAAGTCCGGATTAAATAATAGGGTACTTTTTATCCCGGAAAAATGTGATATTCCCGAGGGAAAACAAAAGTATTGGTAAAGATGACGCTGTGTGTATTGGTATATGTCACATTGGCTTTTTATCCTTTTGTAACGCGAGCGAAGCCGCGGGTAAAAGCTAGTAAAAAATATCTAAGAATTCTACCTCGATCGCTGGTCTGATCAGGTGTAAAAAAATACATATTTGATACACAAATTAATTTAGAATAACCCTTATGAACTGCCGGTAAAAAACAACTGTTTTTCTTTAAAATATTTGATTTTATACATATATGTATAGTCTAGAGAGACGGTAAGTCAATGTCTTACTAGACTATTGCAACAAAAAACTCAATGTGGTAGGTGGCGTGGGTGGCGCAATCAGGGTTATTACAGGTCACCCGTTAGATCGACTTGTAGAGTAATAACAGAAGAGAAATCTGAATTTTTCTTGAATCATCTATATTATACCTGTCCAGTAGCAGCCTTATATTTAGCCTTAAGGTCTAGAAGGGCCTTGACAGCCTCGTCGACCTTCGCCTTCTCTGCCTTAGCGGACTTCAGGGAGCGGACCAGGTCTCCTTGCTTGGTTATCTGCTCGTTAAGATCGGAGGCTGCAGACGCTGCTGGTGAGGCTGCTGGGGCTGCAGCGGCTTGCTTGGCTGGAGACGCTGCTGCCGGTTTTGGCTGTTGATAAAAAAAAAACATAAAATAAATAGGTAATTAATTACTTAGGTGTAGTGTTTGTACGGGTAAACACTTGCAAAAACTTGTTGTAAATTGAATATTTTATTTAGTCTTGTTCCTTTTTTTTTTCAGGAAAGAGTTTGCATAAAGAAAGCAACAAATCGAGAAGAACGCCGGGAAAAGTTGCGCTACACATATTAAATAATTTAATACACACATATCGACACGACTGCCTCTTTGGCCGAGTGGTCACAAGTGCGACTGCGGGACAAGGGGTCTCGGGTTCGATTCCCGGGTCGGGCAAAGTATTACTGTGTTTTTAAAAATCTCAGTACCTAGTAACCGGTGTCTGGAAATGTGCCCGGTATATGGCAATAGGCTCACCCCCTATTACATGGGACTCATAATATAAATAGTGAAAAGTGGGTGTTACATTGTACAGTGGCATTAAGTGCCGTAATGTGCACCTCTGCCTACCCCTTCGGGGCTAAAAAAGGCGTGATGTTATATATATCGACACGCCTGTATCCCTCGATAAAAAACGGTTTCAAAATTACACAATGTAATTCAGTCAAAAATAAAGCTTAAAGGCAATCAGGTAAATCAAATATCAATAAGTGAGTACCTAACAGTAACATTATGATTTATGAGTTAAAACATAAATTATACTAGATGATAAAACCTCAAATACAATTGAATATTTTTGAAACTAGCGCCGCCGAACATTGAAGAAAAATTCAATTAAATATATTTGATTAGCTCATGATTTTACTAAATAGCTATGTCTGTAATTCATTTAAACTAAATTATATATTAGCTAACAATAATATTTCAAAGCCATATGTTGAATTAACTATTATACGTCTCAAAAACAATCAAAAAGGTAATCTAAACTTAAACACCTGTGTAAATACAATCCAAAATTCAACACATTATTAATTATCTATTACTTCTGTATCTATAATACATAATTAATTCAAAAACATATAAATTTCGACAATTTTAATACAAACATTATCACAGATCACTTTGAAACTAAAATACTCATTTAAAAAACTATAAATATACAACAGACACAATCCTCCTTAATACATCACATATAAGAACCACATAAATAAACTAAAAACCTATCACTTACCAATATTAAAAAATAAAATTAAAAAATCACAGCCAACTGTTTCAAAAACCTACTGACATTTGCAACACAGATACGGCAACTGATGACTCGATCAGAAACGTGGTCAAAAACACACAAGCTAAGCAAAACCAGTATACACTGATCGTTGAATGTGAAGAACAATCACAGAAAGCGAGGTCATAATAAACTGGATTCGTACAACCAGTATTAACTGATCGTTGACTGTGCGTAAGGATCATACAATGTGAGACTTTGATGAACTGGTTTTGGTTAGCTCGATGTGTAGTACTTACTTTCTAAAACACATCACGTTACTGTTTACGAGCGAATCGGTGACCTTGATATACATTGACGGTTTTTATCTAGTTATATAAAAGCTTATGAATGAAAACCGGTAATGTATGTTGTGTGCAGTAAAAGTATTGTGAATGTGATTTTTTGCATAGGTCCATATTATGGCGTGGCGAAAGGGAATGTATCAACTTTGAGTTGAAGTTAAAACAATATGTTTCTAACTTCTCTATATGCTAAATGGAGTTTATTTTAATGCTATTTGATAATATTCATGGCCAATTCTAACATAATGTCAAGCCTTTTTATTCTTAAAGGGGTAGACAGAGGTACACTCATAGGTGTATGTACAATGTAACATCGCTGAGTCGCGTCATATTTATTGTATAATTACATTACAAAACTGTAGGATACCTTATTATCTACGTCTTACTTATACATACATATTTTATTGATTGGATTTTAGAGAGAAACATAACTTATGACTCATTCACTCACTCATTTGTATTCATACCTAGATTCAGGGTGCACTTGCGCCCTCCATCATAAATCATCCCTAACTTCATATCAATCACTGTAGATCCTATCGTTCGGTCATTCATTCACGTTGCATTTATTTATATATGCCGTATGTCAAGGCCGATAATGTGTCTATCATTCGAATGAACCCCGGCGCAAGGTAGCGTGTCCTTCGGTGGCCGGCGCGCGGCGCTGGTCGCGATTTATTGATTTATAGTCATACACTTGCAGTTTAGTCCTTATCCCGTATACACTAAATTAAAAATGCAACAAAAATAGGTGTTTCAGTTAGAAATGAGTGACATTTTAGTACTATTTTTTTTAAAGCAATAGATACGGAATTAATTAAAATATTTGCCTAAATATTGTGTTATCAATTGATTGGAGTGCTGCTTTTTGGCTCAATGGCGTATTATGATAGATTGGAAGATTCTAACGGAAGGGTTTCGAGTTCAAATCGGCGGCGTCGTCGAAGACGTACACGATGGGACCATGAGGAAGTCCAGCCACCGTCGTCGACACCACTAGCGGTGTATCAACGTCCCATGCAACTCTCAGACATGAATTACAACAAAGTATATTACTATCAGGATAACTACTACCCATACTACAATTTAATGCATAACAACAATGCTACGTACGCGGCCGGCTATGTAAGTATCCCTCCTTCATGCATGAAGCTACAAATATTTCAGATTTTATTTTATGAATGTGATCACTGAATGTTAATGCATAAAAAAAAATTATAGTATGTTTAAAGGTACATGAGAATAACGTTTCGAATCAACTAATTTTGAAATCTTTGCTATTTTTTATTGCATTACATTTTAACTACTTTACTTGAAATCATTTTCACAACCCACTTAAGTGATACAACAATCTTGGCTTGTTGTAAAATTTATAGAACTTCTGTCTAGCTAAAACGACTGTCTTAGATTCTTCAATGGCAATTGCGACCGGTGACTTAACATTATTTTTAAAATGCCAGTAGCACAAGCACTAGACTTAATTTAGGAACCGTTTGTATTTTGAGGGGGGAAACCAAATAGTTAGTAAATTATGGTACCAAATTGATACCAGGTTAGGGTAACAACTGCATACATTTGTTGGTTGCAAGTCTTTTTTTTATGGCATAAGCCGGTAAACGAGCCGACGGATCACCTGATGGTAAGCAATCGGCGTCGCCCATGGACACCCGGAACACCAGAGGCGTTACAAGTGCGTTACCGGCCTTTTGGCGATTAGGAGTTTGAGGATCGTTGGGGATTAAGGGATTGGGGAGATTCGGGAAGGGGAGGGCAATTGGGCGTCCGGTAACCTCACTCACACGACGAAACACAACGCAAGCATTGCTTCACGTCGGTCTTCTATGAGGCCGCGGTATCACTTCGGTCGAACCGGCCCATTCGTGCCGAAGCATGGCTCACCCACACTCAAAACTCTCTCTCACAGTTGCTAACTCGCCATACGAAATTAGAACAGAACAGAAAATACATGATATACAAAGTAGCACAAGAAATTATTTAGCGATAATAAAGTAGCTTCAAGTTCTTTTCAATTACTAATGAGACGAAAAATTCATTGTCTACAGTACTATACGTCATACCCGTACAACACATATAGCCAAAATTACGATGGAGCTGCTTATAAGGATCAACATCTGTATAGCAATCAATTACTATCCAATTACTCAGGATATTACACTGGAGACCAGACTGGTTTGAATGCACTAACGCATGAATTGGCCAATTACTGTTACTTTCAACAAGAAAATGATAACCAAATGATAAATCAAGCGAACACAACAGAATATACAACGCATAACAATCAAATTGAAAAATCTCGACAGAATAAACCCTCTAGAGACATTGTCGGGAAAAAAGAACAAAAACCGCTACTCAAGGGAAATACATTAGGACAAGAAATTTTAAATACGAAAGAGATGTTACGCAAAAAAAATAAAAGAAGCCATCGAACAAAGGAATCAAAGAAAAGGACTAAGTCTGCTTCTGAACAAAACCGCCATAAGAAAAAAAAATCGACTCATCGCCATTGTAGAAGTTCTACAAGAACTGTTACGATAGAAAGAAAATATCGATCACTAAGTCCGGCTTCCTATAAACGATATATGGATTTTCAACGCTTTCTGATTAACTACTATGCTAGTTTATCAAAATATAGAGTCAAAACAAAAATATTTACTCAAAGTAAGAACGAAATATTGAAAAAAGAAGAAAACAGTAAGACCGATAAACAAATTGAATCTACAAGTCAACAAAATGCTCTTGAAAAGATACACGAACTTGGGGAAGACAAAGATGAATCAAGTGTCGAACAAAATAAGCAAGGAGAGGTAAGTAGTAGTAGAGAGGTAAGAGTAAGTATAATTTATATAACACAGTAATATTGTCTTAACCAATCCCAAATCAGCAGGACAAGGTTGTTGAAATTGAACAAACGATTGAATCAAAGTCGTCCCGCAAAAGGACTCGAAGCCATAGTGCGTTAGACTCTGAAAAAGCTACAGACAAAAATGAAAATCAAGAAATCACTCAAAAAGACAACTCAGAGACACCAAGTAAACGATACGTCAAAGTAAGATTAAATCTAAATATTGAAAATCCAACGAGTACTTCTGAATCTAGTGAGTCTGATCTAACTACGGAAAATTTAAGTTTTGTTGATGAAATAGATGTTGATAAAATAGTAAAACTCCTTAATTTGGATGAAAATGAAGAAACTGTATCAACTGAAGACATTCAAAACAATGAAAGAGGAAATGCACACAATGAGGAGATGTCACAAAATATGTTAATATCCGATAAGCTTCCTAACGATAATACTAGCAATGAGAATGCACTCTCTAATACATCAGATGACAATCATCAGGCGAAACAAATGAATAAATTAATTTCCACCACAAATCACACAGTAATAGATTTAACTCAAGAAGAAGGAGAGATCAAAGAAAATAAAGAATACCCAAAAATGCCTAAAGTAATACCTAAAACTAAAATAACAAAAGTTGATAAAGAAGAAGAACCCGTCTTAGCAGATAGTCCAAAAAATATGGCAGCAAATAGAACAAATTCAAAAACAAGTACAAAAGGACGCAACAAGGAAGCCCACGTATTGGACAAATCAGAGAAAAATAAAGCAATTACAAGAAACAATCCAATTAAAAAGAAATCCGGAACAAAATCACAAGATTCAAAGAAACAACAGAAAGAATTGGTTAAAGAAACAAATGTGACACAAAAACAGAAATCTGATAAGTCATCTAAAGGCCATAATAGCCAAAAAGACAAGAACTCAACCAAAGATACTAGGTCATCGAAAAAGGACAATAACAAGGAAGACAAGAGTGGAAAAAATGTCTCAAAAAGTAATAATAATGATAAAAAACGACGGATTGAAAAGAGAGGTTCAGGTGATAATGATGACTGCGTAATCACACAACGGACAAGAGGACTTTCCAAACGCGCTGAAGGAAAAAGAAAACGCAGCGCTGACAAAACCAGCGTTAAATAGTGAGTAAATTTGGTTTATTGTTTACAATACCAGTAGGCTGCGCGACATCGCCGCGACCGCGCACACTGCTCATGAAGAAGAGTCCTTCTGTGACTCGAAACTAGTAGAGCTTTTCTCAGTGTACATTTACGTGAGTGTTTTTTTTTTCAATTCACTATATCTCACGATAGTCAATGTAGAACGATTAAAATGTCCTTTTCATAGTTTAAAGGCCATTATTCTGTGAATTAAATCTAATTTAAAGGAACAAGTGTACCGGTATTCTATAGCCAAAATTGTTTGTAGCTAGTATTAACCAGATTCAACTGAATGTCACTATTCTATACAAGGCTACTGTTTTTCGCAACAGCTAGGAATGATGCTACATTCTTGAAGAGACTGTATGACAGTCCCAGATAATGTTTCAATTTTTAGTATTTAGCGTGTTTTTTTTTCTGTATTCCTGTATAATATACTTATGTTAATTCAATTTCTGAACTTTTTACAGATCTGACCGCAGAACATATTTTGTTGAAGAATTATTTATGATTTGCTTAAAAAGTATCCTATGTTTCTTATACATTGAATTCTGGATTTATTACGGGGATTATTGTATATCTTTAGGTTTAATATACATAGAGAAGTTTATAAGACTTTCAAACTGTGTGAGGAGATAATCCTCAATTATCTTGCCAGAATTTACTGTTATTGCCACTAGTGGGTACTAGGGTCTGTCAATCAATAGAGACTTTGCTAGTGCCAAACAATAGCACGCATAATTTTGACAGCTACAAAGATTGGACAGATAGGACCTTAGCTTACATAAATTTCATCTGGTGAGAAACAAGCGATACTCCACGCCTATAAGAACTTCGATTGAATACAAAATTGTACATACAGGTACGTTTTCATAAGTTTTGTATATTATATATTATCACATCATACATTACATAAGTCATAACAATACAACTGTTTCCTTTCAGACGAAATTCCTTTTGACTACTATGAGTTCGAGAGATAACGAGACATATCATTACTTATTGAAATCCGCTTCTTACTTCAAACATAGTTAGAGAAAATATTAATCAATTAGTAAAATAATTAGTTAACCGACTTGGCTTGAGAGTCCACGTCAATTGTTTAGAAGACGAAAATGTATGGATTTGAGCCCTTACTGAGACTCGAAATACAGTATGGTAACAGCCTCCGCGAATTGTTAATTAATAAGTTATTATTATTATTATTCCTTTGTTAAATTAGTTTTACGGAGCGTGCGCAAAAAAGCTATGCGAACTGCAAAAGCGATTTTGACAAGAAAATGAAGAAGCCTTGACTAATGGATCGAATGATTGAATTTTACCCAGGATATTAAAATGAAACAGCATGAGGACATGAATACTCGGAACAAGACGAGCACAAATATGAAATGGTTTTATAGGAGAAAATATTCAAGTGGACACACAATAATTTGTAAAGTGTAAGTAGATAGCACATAATATGTACACCAATATTATAATGAGGAAAGATTTCACCGATTCCACTACACACTACTTGATCAATTTGAATCTTTCGATTTCCATATTAACATGAGTGAGTTTTCATCTCGATATCATCGACATCATCGACATCATCGACAGGATCGGGACCTACTGGAGAAAAAAGATCTTCTAAATTCCATGCGAATGACGCCACTGGTGCAAAGCTAGATTTTTTTTATTCAAGGTATTTTACCAGATGTAGAATTTTGTCATTTTTGACACATCACTCACTACATAGCATAAAACAAAGTCGGTATCCGCCGTATGTCTGTCCCTATGTATGCTTAGATCTTTAAAACTACGCAACGGATTTTGATGCGGTTTTTTTATAGATAGATTAATTCGTAAGGAAGGTTTTTGTGTATAACACATGCATATTGCACCCGTGCGAAGCCGGGGCGGGTCGCTAGTTTGGTATAGATACCATATGTCAAATATGGTAACCGAATCTACATAATATAACATCACGCCTTATATCCCCGAAGGGGTAGGTAGAGATGCACATTACTACACTTAATGCCACTATACAATGTAACACCCACTTTTCACTATTTATGTTATGAGTCCCATGTAATATAGGGAGTGAGCCTATTGCCATATATAGTAACAGAATCGACCAGCAAATATTGAGACTAAACTGAGATTTAACAATACTTTGACTAACCTGTCCAGGCATCTCCTTGGTGTGTCCATCGGGTACGTGGAAGAGTACGAGCGGCGTGGGGCGTGACGTGTGCGGGGAGGGCGGGGCGGCCGCCACGTCCACTCTGAAGAATCCACGCCTTTGCAGTTGGATGATATCTCCCACCTTCACTTTTAGCAGCTCTGGCTCGCCCAGCATTGGGATTTCCCACTGAGACAGAAATGGTTGTATAAGAGAAGTGTTTTAAAGATTGATGGATGATGGGACCTTGAAAACATGGCTTTACTTTGAAATAGAAGACCAGGGGGAAATGTAAGTCTTTTTAATCAATATATCTTCTCCCTTTAGTTACCGCCATTATATTAAGCCTTCTCAAACTGTAGTTAACTGGCAAAAAACCTTTAAAAAGTTGTAGTCAATCTGGGGTCTACACACTTAACGAGATTAAATTCAAATGTTCACTTAGAATTCTCAAACAAATCTTAAAAGGGACAAGCTACAGTGCTGCCATCTGCTTTAACGATCCATTTGGACAGTGACTAATAATTTTGTACTCACCCTGGTCTTATGTCCAATGTACTGCTTGAAATCTTCATCCTTGCCCAGCAGTGGTTTCGATATAATATGATCAAAGTACACGCAGTACACTTCGACAGTCGGTGACTTCGGTGTGTCAGCTAACCAAGTTAACTTGAGCGTCTTCTTATAGTCCTTGTTGTCTAGATTAGGGGTCGCGTCTATACTGGTCACTGTGCCGTCTGCTGCCCTGAAAATTAAGTAAAATGTTAGCTTGTTTTGTTCTGGGAAGCCTTTTGTAAAAATATATGTAGTCTATATTGACAAGGGCGATGTGCTGTTTTAAATATAAACTGAAACTGCACTGAAACTTAGCCAAAATACAAACGTTAGTTTAGTGTCAACCCTTGCTTAGGAACATTCTCATGAGCTCTTTCTTTAAATTATATTATTCAAGAATCATATTACCTTCAATACCCTAAAAAAAATATCAGTATTTATGCAATAGCTCCTTTTTAACTAAACTACTAATACATAAACAGCACTTACTTGTGAATTTTATCAATCATGATATTTCCGTAATTGATGAATGTGGCGTTTTCTCCTTCCTTCAACGTCTTTGCATCGACCTGGTCTATGAGCAGTCTACCAGCTACATGCACGGTCTTGGACCCTACATCGGGGTTTTTAGGGTGTAGAGCTACGGACAGGGTGCTCTCTGATATTCCCTTAAGGTTCACGGGCACTGGGCTCGTTTCAAGGGCCGTGTAGCGTGGTGCGATCGGGTCTATCACCTAAAATAAAATATAATTATAAATAAAATTATTTACTTAATATGAATTATGGCTAAAAAGGAAAAAACAAAATCTCCTTGTTTTTATTTCGAACGAGCTGAACACCGAAGTGAGTGGAGATTTTAAGTATATTTTTATATTTCAGTTATTCTAATTACACACAAAAAGCTAAATTTTAATGCCCAACAACAAAAATAGAAATACATTTACAATTTTTCATACAAATAACAAAGAAATATTTCTAAAAACACATCTTGAATTATTTATTATACAAAGAACAAGTCATTAATATCAAACCTTTTTGTTTATAGCCCAAATCTTGTCCCACTCCATGAAGACCACGGATCGACTGGAGCCCTGCGCCGTGATAAACTGCCTCAGGCCTTCCACTGTCATACCACGACGGAGCACCCCTCGAACGGTGGGCATACGAGGATCATCCCTGGTAGTGGAAAAGAAGACCTTATCGCATCAGCCGTATGTCTATATTTGCTTGTCTTTTTAACAATACCTACTATTTTTTTCAGGTTTTTGGGAGGTCATCGGCTACCTCTTACTCATAAACCCTTCGTCCTAAAAGTCACGGTTAGTGACATATGATTTTTGATTGAAATGAAGTGGTGATGCATCTTCATGATATTATATAATGTAGTTATCATAGGTACATAATTATGTTGTTATTCATCCTAGCCGATTTCGGCAATATCATACATATCTTTGTATATCAATGTTATAAATGTGTAGCTATTTAACTTTCACGTCAAAATGTCACATTGATTTTTAAATATAATTCCAAGGTCATAAAGTGATATAAGCTTTACAGTAGAAAACAATTTTAAACCCACCAAAAGAAAATGTGTTCTTGCGCAACAATTTTTGCCACAAGTAGATGGCGTTTGTGTAGATTTTGGGCACATTCGCCTATTGTATCTTGGTGGATGTCACTCATAGTTACTTCTTTGTCCTGCTGATGTAATCGGTGACGTAGTATTCGTAGTGTTGTAATATTTAATCTTCGTTATGTTTTGATAATAGTCTTAAGATATTAATGTGTGTAATATGTAAAAAGTGCCAAGGAAAGAAGTTTGTGATGGTTTGCTGTATGGAAGCGGTTGTGAGAAAGATATTTTATTCTAATCAACTTTTCTTGAAACAAATTAACATCTATGTAATGGAAATTAAAAACATCTGGTAATTATTATGGTTACATTAACTGCCTATCCCCCAAAGCGGTCACCGGTGACCGCTCACCACTTATTCCATTATAAACCTTATTTCCCATGTTTAGAGACTACTTTTGCATAAACAAATATTGTGGATTTTCATAATCGGGGATTAAGAAGTTTAGCAATGGAACAAGACTATCAAAAAAGGTTGGTTAGAAAAAATTAAGCCTTAAAAGGCTGAAACTGAAAAGGAATGGCCTTATACATTGTATACAACTAATTATAACATTCTATGTGTAGTTACAATAACTATTTCATCTTTTTGGATGTCTATATTAATCAAAATACTTAACGTAAGTGAAGTTTATCTATATATTTTTGATGTATTATCGAATTCCCACAGCTTGTTACGATCTGTTTTTAGTTTTATAACTCTTTACTAAAGCAAATTTTTACCTCACTTGTAAATGTTCACAAATTCTGATGTATTTTACGTCATTTTTATACTTATGACTTTTGTCAAACAATGTATTTTTATTATTAGTTTAATATACACCTCTCCTTTAATTTGATTTTTAAATATTCTGAAATATAGTCGTTTTCAAATTGATGCTTTTATTTTACTACAATGAAAAGACACAAACCGCCATACTCAGAGTCATTTAATGGCTACTTAACCCAATCCTCAGCAATAGGGTAGATGCCTAGAGGTAATTTGTATTTTAACGTCCGTCTGGTAGATTATTTTAAATCATTACACACGTATTTTTTATTTTCTTACAGCACACTTTCGACAATATATTGATTTGAAATGTCACGTGACATCACTTCTATGTACATTTTATACGTAGAAATGACGTTTTAGCCCCCACTTGTAAACTTTGTTTCGTTTTATCTAAGTATTATTTTATTATACGATAAAATAAAAAATGCGTGTCATATACGTTTTCATTACCTAACTTACGGACTAATTAGATTTTTAATTTTCATACCCCGTCATCATCCCAATTGTTTTCGGAACAAAATCGTTAATAAGGAGTAGTTTAAGTAATTATTAAATGTCTGAGTACGGCAGAAAAATTTATAAGTAGCATTCACATACATAATTCATAGAAAACTTTATTAAAAAAACAAATTTTAATTGAATATAAACTCTATAGTTTTCTTTATAGAATCGTTTTTCTGACAATGGTAAAAAATGTGCAACTTATCAGTCAGATCCAAATCGTTGTTACCGTTATTTAAGTTTCTATTATTTGTTGATCTATTTAAAAATGTAATTTTCAAATGAATGTTATTTTATACATCGTGAAATTTATATCGTTTTCGTCTGGCAGTAAAACAACTTGCCATAAGGAGTACTTACGATATATGTATAAAGTAATAACAAAAAAAAAGGTGTTTATATTAATTAAGTATTTATGCTAATTTAACTTTGTTTCGCATCCCACGCACGCTGTCCGCTGAGAGATATCTCTTCTAGAATTACATGGCGTAATGTTTCGATTGATATATGAATTCGTATGCGCTTTAGAAGGATTTGCAATGGTTCATCAGTATTTTTTGTTTTTGTACATTTTATTTCTTTGTAAAGCTATTGTATTACCGAGACAGAACCATTATATATCGAGAACGATATAAATTTCACGGTGTATAATATAATTATTTTAAATATATATCGTTACACATAAAATATATGACTGTGACTGCCTCGTTGGCCGAGTGGTCGCAAGTGCGACTACCAAGCAAGGGGTCTCGGGTTCGATTCCCAGGTCGGGCAAAGTATTACTGGGTTTTTAAAAATCTCAGTAGTAGCACGGAGTCTGGAAATGTGCCTGGTATATGGCAATAGGCTCACCCCCTATTACATGGGACTCGTAACATAAATAGTGAAAAGTGGGTGTTACATTGTACAGTGGCATTAAGTGCCGTAATGTGCATCTCTGCCTACCCCTTCGGGGATAAAAAGGCGTGATGTTATGTATGTATGTATAAAATATATGCTTACCATCCGTCGACGAGGCCCTCATTTACGAACCATGTGAGTTTCCTCTTGGACAAAACTGTGTTTGTCATACTCAATCTGTATTCAAAATAAATGTATTAGATGAAACATACAGCTGTTTCTTTTTATATTTTAACTTTAATATTACATGCACAATTTAGGTTTTGTTATGGGCAACGAATTTTTTGTTCGATTTGACTGCTTCATTCGCCTAAATTGCGATTGCCGAACAAGGAGTCATGTGTTTGATTTCCGGGGTACTAAGTATTACTTTTCCAGTTTGGAATATTGCCCGATATATATACATAGGACTTATAACGTAACTGATAGAAACTTATCAAAGAGCGCTGCTGCCCATGTGTCTTACTGTCGGCTTTAATGACACCCATGTGAAGAGGGATGGTGACATAAGTATATTACTTGGCAACCACCACACGCTACATTATAATAAAATCGTATGTATTTGTTTTTTATCGGATAACCCGGTAAACTAGCAGACGGATCACCTGATGATAAGCAATCGGCGTCGCCCATGGACACCTAGAACACTTGAGGCGTTACAAGTGCATTACCGGCAATGTGGGGATTTTTTTATTTGTTTTTTGTTTTTACATACGTTGCCCCACTCTAAGATTTTCTCCCGTGTCGTGGGTGCGTTTACAAGCAAACAAGTTCACATACACATGACACCCAGACCCGGTACAACAATCTGTGGATCACATAGACAGTTGTTTCGTGCGGGAATCGAACCCGCGACACGTTGCGCGGCAGCCGGTTACCCAGCCACTGCAACAACCGTACATTCGATTATTAAGAATTTGAAGATTGTTGGGGATTGGGGATATTGTAGATTGGGGGGTAATTGAGCCACTGTTGCTTAGTATTAATACTCAATTATAAATTACCGGCTATACTCCCAGATGTAAGGTTTCCTGATGCCGAGCGCGTCAATGAACCAGTAGAACTGAGGATCCCTATCGTGGTACTCCATCGTACGGAGCACGTGCGTCACTCCCTCGATGGAGTCCACTATTGGACACGCGAAGTCGTATGTGGGGTATACTCTGGAAAAGATAATAAAAAGCGTTAGAAATTTTGAACCGGTTTTAAAAATAGGTTTCGATGAATAAAGGGAATGTGAAACCGACTTCAGTGCAAGATTATAATGCAATTGGTTGTACCGATTTTGATGCGGTTTTCAAAAACAGTTAGGAGAAGGCTTTAGTATATTAATTAACCGACTTTAAACAAAGAGACGTGGTTGAAGTAGGATTTTTTTAAACTTAGTTTATAAAAGGTAAAGAAGCAAGTACCTAATTGTAAGTTTATTAGTAACTAGCTTTAACCCGCGGCTTCGCTCGCGTCACAAAAGGATAAAAAGTAGCCTATGTGACATATACCAATACACACAGCGCCATCTATACCAATACTTTTGTTTTCCCTCGGGAATATCACATTTTTCCGGGATAAAAGTACCCTATTATTTAATCCGGACTTCTAACTTTACGTCTGTAAAAATTCAAAGCAATCGGTTTAGTAGTTACGGCGTGAAAGCGGAACAAACAAACAAACAAACAAACTCACTTTCCTATTATTCCTTATTTATAATATTATAGTAAGGATTGTGTAGTACTAGTTAGTTTAATTATTTATTTATTTTATTATTTAACATGTTTGAAAGACTAACAGCTAACAAAATAAAAGTAAGAAATGGTGTGAGAGTCAACAGCCAATGACAAGTCTTAACTTATAGAAACAAACTTATGCCGGAATACTGAAACGTTACTCAATTTTAAGTCGTGCTTAAATATCGTGCCATCTCTGCCATTTTACAAACAATTTGCAGAGACAGAACTATACTTAAGCATGACTTAAAATTGAGTAACGTTTCAGTATTCGGGCATTATACTATAAAAGAATGTGGTCAACACAGTACAAAGTACAGTACTAAGTAATAATAAAAATAAATAATAATAGACAAAATCAAAAGAAACAAAGTACAAATAACAAATAAAAACATCTGAACACTGCACAGCCAAATTACCTCGCATATACTTATAAATATTATATGTTTTGTAAGTATTATCTTTAGCTACTCAAAAATAATAATGATTGTCGCTGCTTTCAAATGCTAAAACTACGTGTCATCTAATACCCCTTCTATTTTTTTATTTCCTTTTCGATTAACAGAAAAAAAAAACCTTAAAGAAAAATCGCGGGTTACTCACGTGAATATAGCTGAGAAAAGCTCTACTAGTTTCGAACCACAGAGGGGTTCTTCCTCATGAGCATTAGTATGTCTCACGATAGTTATTATAAAAACATAGGACAAAAAACTTGTCCAGTAAAACAGACACTGATCGCTGTTTCTGGCCATACTCAAAGATTATCTAACATTACTTATTATATCAAAATCCACAGCTAAAACACTTACTTATACTGTGTCCCGGTTCGTGGATGTACCTCCGGCTTGCAGCGGTATATGGTGGGGTCGCGCAGACATCCGTTGGGGGACTGCATGTCTATCTTGGCTCTCACACAGCACTGCACTCCGATGTCACTGGCTTTCTTCATCTCCTCCCATAGCTCTAGGTTCTTTTCTACAGCTGTTGAATAAGGATAGGTTGGTTAAAATCATTTTTTAACATAATAGGCCGTTATATATGTTTATTTTTTATAGAAAGAGATATCAAAATTTAAGTGTGGGAGAGCCATGCTTCGGCACGAATGTGCCGGCACGACCGGAGTAATACCACGGCCTCACAGAAAACCGACGTGAAGCAACGCTTGCGTTGTGTTTCGTCATGTGAGTGAGGTTACCGGAGGCCCAACTACCCTCCCATTCCCCGATCTCCCCAATTCCTGAATCCCCAACGATCATCAAACTCCTAATCCCCAAAAGGCCGGTAACACACTTGTAACGCTACTGGTGTTTCAGGTGTCCATGGGCGCATGGGCCGCATGCGACCCGCGGGCTATTGTTTGGACAGCCCTGTCCTAGGTATTAGAATGACACAATATTTGGTGAATCATACAACAACAATAACATTGCGTGAATAGAACTAGCGTATTCGAAAAATAAAAAAGGCAACTGTTTCATTTTTATCAAAAAATGCGTATAAACTCACAATTATTCCTATTCTTGCTATCAATCTTCTGTTCTCTCTCGTTCTTCATCTGTTCTGCGGGGGTGTCGTCGACGAATGCCTTGCCCTCCTTGATGAGCTTCACGCAGTAGTCCAGCATCAGATCGAAGTACTGAGACGTGTGCGTGAAGAGGTCCGGCTTGATTTCTAACATCTCCACGTCTTCTAGGATTACCTGGAGAAAAAAATGAGTGTTATTATGATTGAGCAATAATACGATATATGTGAGAGAATTTTTCATCTTATACATAAAGCGGAAGAGTTAAGTTTGAACGCTCTAATCTCGGGAACTACTGGTCTTATTTGAAAAATTCTTTTTGTGTTCAATAGTCCATTTATCGAGGAAGGCTATAGGCTATAAAACATCACGCTACGATCAAAGGGAACTGAGCAGAGCGGGTGTAACCACGCGAAAGCAGCTAGTATAATTATAATAATCTTAGTGGGTAGTGTGTTAGTTTCTGCTCCACCTAACACCACCTTTGAGACATAAATGTCGAAGTGCTAAATTGTTAAAATACATTTTGGCGTTGGCCTTTATGAATCTAAGATGCAGCCTGCAGGCTTGTCTACTTCTATATGACAAAATAATGATAAATTAGATATTGATACTGATGCTTCTACAAAACACCAGTAACTGCAATAAATATTTACAATATACGAGCTGCATAACTCCTGGTAACAAGTGCTGGTCACTCAATTATAGTTTGTTCAGCTGCTTCATAAATAGAGCTTATAATAGACATAACATCACACCTTTTATCCCTGAAGGCGTAGGCAGAGGTGCACACAGAAGTAACACCCACTTTTCACTATTTATGTTATGAGTCCCATGTAAAAGGGGGTGAGCCTATTGCCATATACCGGGCACAATTCCAGACTCCGTGCTACTACTGAGGATTTTTTAAAACCCAGTTATACTTTGCCCGAACCGGGAATCGAACCCGAGACCCCTTGCCCGACAGTCGCACTTGCGACCACTCGGCCAACGAGGCAGTATTGGTTTATTTGAAGTAGTTGTAGACATTCAATGATCAAAAACAATATTATGATATATTACCTACAGTTTAGACACAGTAATGTGCAAGAGTGGGGTAAGACACACACGGAGCCGCGGAGGACTTAACAGTCTCCAGTTCGAAGTGCAAGACAAGGAATGGAAGGTGGGTTTTAGTCAGTAAGAGTCTGACACTCCCTCTTGCCTCACCCAGGCGGGAGAAGTCATTGGATGATTTTCCCCCTCAATCTGAATTTGTGCCTGGTGTATCTATTGTCATACAATAGGCATAACATTATGTTATAATTATGTTATGCCCTAAAACCAATAAGACGATAATAATAACTAGATAAGATAATTAATAAAGCCAATGAAGTAAATTACCTTCTCATACTCAGCATTTTCTTTAGCAGGGTTGGTGTCATCGAACCTCATGATGAGTTTGCCCTGGAACGCCTGTTGGTAGTACTGGTTCAGAAGCGCGGCCTTCGCGTGACCAATGTGGAGGAAACTAGAATAACAATAGAAAATTATTATTTAATTAATTATACTTTTCACTTAGTATTTTTGATAAATGTTGCGTGTTTGTGGATTTTCTCTAGTGTCGTGGATGCGCCTTACAAATAAACATACACGTTCACATATATGTATAGTATCATACTCAGACCCAGAGCAACAACTTGAATAACATACCTATAAAAAATGTTCTGTGCAGGAATCAAACTCGCGACGTTGCTGGTTACAAATTCACAGCTTTTTTGCCCCATACTTTAGACTTGGGATCCTAATTCTTTTAGTGTTTTGTGTAAAAGGTTTTAATTTAAATATTTTGTTCAGTAACCACTTACCCTGATGCTTCAGGTGGGAACCTGACCACCACCTTGCCCATCTCAGCATGTGGCAGCTCAACAAACTTGCCTTCCTGTTGACGGCCTGAACCACCATCATTGGCTGCTGGAGATTTCCTGAAAAATACAATTTTTTTTATATATTTTCTCTTAATCGTTTGACCATACAAGGAGTAAGATAACCAATATTTATTTTAAGTACAAAATATTGTTAAGGACTGAGTCTGTTGCAATTTCAATAAGGAAATTGGAAGATTAGATTTTATCTTCATAACATAACATAACATAACATCACGCCTTTTATCCCCGAAGGGGTAGGCAGAGGTGTACATTATGCCACTGTACAATGTAACACCCACTTTTCACTATTTATGTTATGAGTCCCATGTAATAGGGGGTGAGCCTATTGCCATATACCGGGGCCAGTTCCAGACTCCGTGCTACTACTGAGAATTTTTGAAAAACCCAGTAATACTTTGCCCGACCCGGGAATCGAACCCGTAATTTTATCTTCATTTTGTTCTAAATTTATAATTGTACATTTTAATCTGTTTAACCCTCTTGTTAATAGTTTCGGTACAAATATCTAAATTAATTTTAAACAGAGAAAACTCAAAAATTACTGAGTAGCAAATCCGTAGCAATGTAGGAGCAAAATATAAGTATTTCATGTAAAACTAGCTTCTGCCCGCGACTCCGTACGCGCAATCCCGTTTTCTCCCGTTCCCGTAGGATTTTCAGAGGTTTTTTCTGTCATAAGAACCTTCTCCTGACAATAATAAACACAACAAAAAAAAAAACTGCCAAATCGGTCTAGCCGTTCTCAAGTTATGCCATGACAACAGGAAATGGGTTTCATTTTTAAATACATAGATAGATGGGAAGTGATTATAAAATACTTATGCTATTGCTAAAGCAGCGACAACATATTTTTCATAAAAAATACAAATTATGATATTTCTTACATTTTCATCAAATTAAAACATTGTAAAATAAAACACTGTCAAAAAGTGACATTGATCTTGACCAAGTCATAAGGAAAACAATAATATTGTTAACATTACAGTCATTACTCAAGTCAGCGATATTTCATCATAATTTCTCATTTACTCGGAACTAGCTTGAATGCCTTGGGACTTAAGAATCACTGAAATTCAATTAATTGTTGACTCATCAAACAATAACATAATATAGTTGATTTGTTAACAAGTTCAATTTTTTTAATATATAATAATTTTATATTAAATTTTTTTTGAACTTTACTGTTATTTGAGAGAGTCTAATATTAGACAATGATTGAATAATGTAGCAGTAAATGATTACAACATATTTAGGCATTATGATATCATTAAACTGTCAAATACCAAGCGGTCACCGGTGACCGCAACCTATTGTTCTATAATTGTGTCTGAAAAACCGGTACTCGACGAGTTAAGGTTGATCATATAGTAATAGTGAATTCTAATTGGATAAAAACAATCCCATTTGACAATATTGTGCTAGAACATTGGTATAACTTATACTCTAGCAATGTGTTACTCCTATGACATACTATTTAAATAATTTGAAATACTATTTATGAATTACTACATACACTATCATTTTAAAACATTTATATCTATTTAGGGTATGTTCACCTGTTTGCATCCACCCACCAATTCCATGTCATATTACAGAAAACCCTTTAAAAAATTCCAAAAATAAGAAATTTATGGATAAATGGATGCAAACTGGTGGTTGGATGTGAACAGGTGAATTTTTGTGTGTCTGAGTAGATGCAAACAAGTGAACTTACCTTATATGGACACTTTTGAAACTTCTACAATGATTTCTTAATAAAGTATTAAAGAGTATAACAAACCTGGATGAAGCCTTGCTGATATTGCTCAGGACCTCAGCAGGCAGTTCTTTCAGTACTGTAGCTACACATGATTGAGCTTCGATCAGCTTCATCCAGCGAAGAATGTTTTTAGGAGGGTTTTTCTTTGATACATCCTTGAACCTGGCTGATCCTGTAATTTATTAATTACTAAATTGGAAAATAATGTTTGGGCTATAGATATGTAAATTATTTATAGTGTATTGAATTTATAAAGGTGGTTCCACACATGATTCTTATTGGAGGTTACTAGACCAAAAAAAAGTTCTAATTTCATAAAAAAAATATATTTTATTGAGATCATAAAATGATAACGATTGACAGCTATACTGCTTGTGTTAAGATAATGACACTTACCATACAAAACACTAAAGACTGCCAAGTCAGATACTGATAATGATTCTCCCACCAAATAGGTTAAGGGCCCAAGAGTTTTGTCCAAATAATCAATGGATTTGGGGATCTCATCCTCTAAGATTAGGCTAAACGAAAGCCAATGATTCATGGTAACCCTTTGAAGAGGTTCTGCCGCTTTGTTGAAAGCATTTTCCAGAATTCTTATCAGATCATTACTGGTAGCATATGGCACCTTTTTAGACGAATTCGGCAAAACAACATACGAATCGCCATCCCACGTCACTTCCACCTGTTTCGCTGAGGACTTGTAGAACTCCACAGCGAGCAAACCACCTGTAAAATCGAAGTTAAAGTCTATTTTAAACCTAGTTCACTCAGCTGATGCAATTGGAAGAAATATGTATGAAACATTGCACTTTACCTAGCGGTGGGTTGGATTTATTGCACGCAACTTTCATTTCAAAGCAGTTTATGCACTTGTTTTACAGTAATAGTATTTATTTCGAGAGTAGTCGCATGCACTCGCCGAACAAACCCACACGAGAGGAAATTGTAGGAAATGTCAAAATGACGCGTTGACAAACTATTGTCACTGACATATGACGGTGGCGATTCGTTCTACGTATACGTAGTCTCGAATCTAAACTTTAGAATTTCACCATTTTTATTTTTAAGAGAAACCATAATCTTGTAGGTAACTAAAAAAAATACGTAAAAATAAAAATAAATGTATTATTATACAATATATATATTATTAGACAAAACTTTACCAAATTATCTACTGAATAAATAGCCACCGGAAACAACAGAAATCTCCGCAACACACCGGAAAAAAAATGCCGTAAATCTTGAAATGGGAAAGTCTGAAACGCAAAATTTCAGTATACATTGCTTTCACAATACCATGCACTATTCAATTATTGTTTACAAATAAGGAAGTGTACATAAATATTTTAATACCACTGTTGTTCAAATTATTGACTGAAACATTTTACCTGTAATAAAATATTTTGTATGAATGGTTTATGTTAATAAATTAATTTCAATTTTAAATGCCTTAATGTTGTTTTAAGATAGTGAAGGGGGTTTTTAATGCTTTAATTTAGTGATAAGTGTCTTATGAAACGTGAGTTATTTTGAAATAAAAAATGTTGATAATTCGCAAAGTGTTCTCTCTATTTCTCTATCAAATATCAGTATGAAAAATAATTGAAAACAATTTGGAGATGTTAATAAATAGCAACTTGTGGTACAAAAAATAATTTAGCGTAATTTTTTTTATATTTTTAGAACATGGTGCGAGTCTGAACGATATAATTTTTTGCGAGCGATTGGAAATTATTTACTGTGATTATGAAGCGACAAAACGTCCGAACACTATCCCTTGTGGTCTGCACATTTACATATTTGTTGATTGGCGCTGCAGTATTCGATGCTTTGGAGTCCGAAACGGAGAGTAAACGGTGGGAAGTACTATCTGGTAAGCGCACGGAACATGTCCTATTTGAACAGGAATATCTTAAATAATATTTTCTTACAAAAATCTATTAGGTAGTAGGTACGTCTCTCTCTAGTATTGTAAAACCCATAATAATTGAAGAAAAAAATGAATAGTGTTTGTCTAAAAATTAAATCTAAATATTCCCTAAGTTTCCCTGAATGAAACAGAATAATTAAAGTAAGTATTTCAGTATCTCAGTAGAACTGTAGAACAGAGCAATTTATTTCAGTCTGTCAAAACCAATTTTAAATTTGTATTCTTTTAAAATTAAGCAAGCCGCTCATATCCTATTAATAACTGTTCGAGTCTATATTTTATTTCATGTCTTAAATTATAAGATTGGAGGCTCGCTGTACTTACATATAGTTCCCAAATCCAGTTTTGACACCAGTCTACCACTCTTTATTTATTGATGTCTGATCTATGTTATAAAAAATTAACAATGTATAATATTATGTTTTCCAGATATGAGAAATGGCTTAATACGTAGATATAACATAACACCGGAAGACTACCACATGATCGAGATTGTTATCATTGAGAACAAACCACACAAAGCTGGGCCACAGTGGAAGTTTGCTGGAGCCTTCTATTTCGCTACCGTTGTGCTGGCTATGATCGGTTACGGGCATTCTACACCTGTCACTTATGGAGGGAAAGCCTTTTGTATGGCTTATGCTATGGTAAGACATTGTTTTTTTATTAAATTAGTAATTAATAGAGCCCAATGCACCCTTTATTCCTAATCCCCAATCACAATTCCCTAAAAGGTTGTGAACACGGTCAACTTGTCTGTGTTGTATGTGTCCATAGGATGCACTGGGAAGAGTAGTTTGATATCACTTTTGCCCATATAGAATAGAGGAATATCTAGTACACTGAAAATTATGAAAGGGTTACAATCATCATCATAATCTTCACTTTTAACATAGATATCATCCTACTTTTGTCTCTTCAGTTACAACAGGACTAGAAGCATAAATGGAAAAGTTACATTACATAACATTAAGCTTTTTATCCCCGAAGAGGTAGGCAGAGGTGCACATTATGTCACTGTAAAATGTAACACCCACTTTTCACTATTTATATTATGAGTCCTATGTAATAGGGGGTGAACCTATTGCCATATACTGGGCACAATTCCAGACTCCATGCTACTACTGAGAATTTTTTTAAAACCCAATAATATTTTGGATTAAGTTTGCATACTCTAATGCACATCTATGAACTACTACTAGACTTACCCATTCAAAGATGCGTGATGACAATTATGAATTGATATAATTTTTATAACAAAAAAACATCCACACCCTGCCCAGTCATCTTCCCCATTTGCATACCCATACATGATCATAATTTCCAATTTAAAATTTCAGGTGGGTATTCCCCTAGGCCTGGTGATGTTCCAGAGTATAGGTGAACGTCTGAACAAGTTCGCGTCTGTGGTGATACGTCGAGCTAAGTGTTACCTTCGATGTAACACTACGGAGGCTACAGAGATGAACCTTATGTTTGCTACTGGAATGCTCTCGTCTATTATTATAACTACAGGTACCTTATTTAAACTATTGTTCTATAATTGTGTCTACAAAACCGGTACTCGACGAGTTAATTGTCTCACGAGTTTATTAAGTATTAGTTTTGTGTCCTGGACTGGTGGAAAAAAAGTAGATTGTAATTTTGCTATGACGAAATTATTAGGCGACTAGTAAATAATATTTAACTTTATCCACTTAAGTTGAACTACTACTGATTACTTTCCTCCCAATTATGCCATGAAATCTAATACAAAATCTAGAATATGATAAAATGAATGCACAAAACGCCTTTACAAAATACAATAGCAATATTTTTTTAGGTGCCGCTGTATTTTCCCGCTACGAGGGCTGGAGCTACTTCGACAGTTTCTATTATTGTTTTGTTACACTTACTACAATCGGATTCGGGGATTACGTTGCTTTACAGGTTCGTAAAACTATTTTTAATAGAAATTGCCCAAATAGTAGATAAGTTATGTAATTTTACATTTACAATTCTAGAAAAATTGCACACATACAGTATTAAAACAACAAAACAGCACACAAACAGTATTTTATACCTATGTATTATCATGTTTTTATAATAACTATCATGAGACATACTAAATTAAGTAAAAACGCGGGTTACTCACGGTTGCTCACTGTAAAACAGTGAGCTGCGCGACGTCGCCGCGACCGCGCACGCTGCTCATGAGGAAGAACCCCTCTGTGGTTCGAAACTAGTAAAGCTTTTCTCAGTATATTCACGTGAGTAACCCGCGTTTTTACTTAATTTATGTATTATCATGACTATTATAAACATTTATGTTAGCAGTTGCTTTAAAAATACTTAACCTTTTGTCTATTGAAACACCGGCTCCCGGTATAAAACACATTATACCCGCAACTTTCAACATACAATAGGTTAAGCTTTTTTTATAAACATTTATTTATATTCAGCCATGATCATCCCACTGCAGGGCAAAGATCTCCCTACCTTCTTTCCACTCCTCTCTATATTACCAACAGTTTTAATATAAAAAATATCTGCTGTTTCTTTACTTCTGTTAATAAACTGCTTTTCTTTTTCACTAACACTGTACTATTACTTATTCTGTGGCTAAATGAAGAAAGAAATACATCTGAAACCTTTTTTTTTATTTCCAGAATGATCAAGCCCTGACCAGCAAGCCTGGCTACGTGGCTCTGAGCTTAGTGTTCATACTCTTTGGACTGGCCGTAGTCGCCGCCAGTATCAACTTATTAGTACTACGGTTCATGACTATGTGAGTATGAAGAGACATAAGCTATAAAAGTTAATAACAATTTTATAAGTTAAGTGACATGTCTAAATAGTTCTTTTTCTAAATGATCTTGAGCATTAAATACCAGAGATTAGTATCTATTTATAATCTACTTCACATAGCCACCTTAAAATAATTATATAAGCAATCAATAAGTCAGTGACTGCCTCGTTGGCCGTGTGGTCGCAAGTGCAAGGGGTCTCGGGTTCGATTCCCGGGTTGGGCATAGTATTATTGGGTTTAAAAAAAATCTCAATAGTAGCACGGAGTCTGGAATTGCGCCCGGTATATGGCAATAGGCTCTATTACATGGAACCTATAACATAAATAGTGAAAAGTGTGTGTTACATTGTACGGTGGCATAATGTGCATCTCTGTCTACTCCTTCGCGGATAAAAGGCGTGATGTTATGTATGTCAATAAGTTAGATATGGGTCAGCAGAAACATTTTCAGCAAAATGTAGCTTGTCTATATAATATTACTTTTTCTAGGCAAGCTGAAGACGCAGCCCGTGACGAAGAAGATAAAGATGGTTCCAGGACTCTCCTGCCAATAGATGAACATCCTATAATGGGCAGACAGAGATCTCATGATGATCAAGCATCGGTTAGTATAAGTTAACACTTGATGTCTTAAGTTACTGAGAGTAGGTTCCATTTTACACCAACAGATGCAACTGTCCCGGATCGATGATGTTCATTTCTGAATCGCAGTGTTAACGATTCTCTGTGAATGAATGGCCCTCCTCCGTTTCCCTCAATTTGGTATCGCTTCCTCGGCCTATGGCTAAGATCCAAGTATAGTATGTATTTTTTTCAGCTTAATATCCTCTCTGTGAAAGTTCCCTCACTGAGGGACCAATATATTAAACTATCGGGTTTTTTTTTGTAAAATTACGGGATGTTCGGGGCTCACTTCATTCCCGTCACGGGTCGGCCCGGCAAGGCAGTGCCGCCGCGATCGACCCTGCCTTCAGAAATGAAAATGTACAAAGCAAAATCTAAAAGATGTGCCATACGAGTCTTCATCTTCATATCCCCTCATTTTGATGAATCGGTATCAAATCTTCAATCATCACATTTTTCACAAACCGCCGTGAAGCAACGCTTGCGTTGTGTTTCGTCGTGTGAGTGAGGTTACCGGAGGCCCAACTACCCTCCGTCCATGGGCAACGCCGATTGCTTACCATCAGGTGATCCCTCTGCTCGATTACCGGCTTATGCCATAAAAAAAGAATTAAGTACATAAATCGCATAAATGTCTATTACTGTTCCATAATTATGTAATCCGACTTTTTTTTTGTTTTTTTTTTGTAAAAACGTTGCACACTAGGATTTCCTCCTGTGTCGTGGGTGCGTTTACAAACATACAATTTCACATACACAATGACACCCAGACCCGAAACAACTATTTGTGGATCACACAAAGTGTTGTCCCGTGCGGGAATCGAACCCGCGACACGTTGCACGGCAGCCGGTTGCCCAGCCACCGCACCAACCGTGCAGTCAATTGTCAACGAAATTAAAAATTCCTATTGTCATATTTCACTTATAACTCCCAGGTATGTTCATGTAACTGCCTGGGCAACAAGCAGTGCGAGGGGGGCGCGCTGCTGGCCGCGCCGCGCGCGCACCGCCTGCACCGCCGCGGGTCGCTCGCACTCACTCCCGAACTTATTGAGAGGGCTTCCGTCTAAATGTAAGTCACCACTTATGATGTATCGATGTTAAAGAAAAGATGGAGGAAAGAAGATACAATAAATATGGAATAGTGAATGAAAAGTGTGGTTACATTGTTCTTTGCCGTAGGGTAGTCCGTCAGTTAGATTATGAAAAAATATTAGACACATATTTTTTATTATGTCGTATAAGAAAACTATACTACGATAAAGTCGCAAAGAACCTAACGGGTAACCGGGGCTCCGGCTCGACGTGCCGGAGAAGGAACGGGGTGGTTTTTAGTCAGTAAGAGTCTGACACTCCCTCCCGCCTCACCCAGATGGGAGCAGTCATTCAATGATTTTCCCCCCTTGAAAAAAAAATACTTCGATAAAACAGAGTTAAGTTTGAGTGCGAGAGATCGTTACGTCGTTACTACATTTTATAAGGTAGCGCCTATAAAATGTAGTAAATCGTGACGTCAATTATTCAAATCAATATATCGTTGAAAGTATTTACTTTTGTGAGAAAATAAAAAATACGTGTTTAATGTTTTAAAATAATCTATAAGGCGGACGTTAATATAAAATTTAGCACACTACCCTATTGTGTAGTCAAGCGCGACTGTCGAGCACAATATTAGTGGGATTGTTTTAGTTTTAAGTCAGGGCTGTCCAAACAAAGGCCCGCGACACACGTTTTAATCTCAACATCTTCATCTTATGTGCAACAACAATAATAAAATTCAGTGGATAATTTGTCTACAAGTTTTGTCTGTAAATAAAGAATATAATACTAAACGTCATTATACAACCGAAAACATTATTCTGGCACGCCAGCTTTTGTAAGAAATTTAATTAGCCCGGGAGGATATATAGTTTGGACAGCCCTGGGGGCTTACTCTTGAATCCAATGCCAATCGATAGACATTCGTATTGTGGAATTTCTTGCTCTTGAGTTGCAATACTAGCGTCCATTGCATCCGTATTGCGAGCATATTGAATGAACTAAATGGCATTGAATTTGGTTTTATATTCCTTACTCTGAATGCTATTTTAATAACTACGATAGAGGTTGTATAGTTTTGACATTGAATAAATATTGAGATTTTATTGGATTGAAATTGCATTGACATTGAGATTGAATTCAAGAGTAAACACCCTGGTCTAAGTAATTGTGTCGGATATAAGGCAGTGGACACACAGTGTTACATGAAACTCATAGTCGGAAATCACAACATAACTGGTGAAAAAATGGTCCATTGTACGTTGACCAGTGTACAACTTTCAACTTTATTGTATTGATATAAAGTCAAACGAAAAATTTGACAGATCAACCAGAAGGTTGTGACTTGTACGTGCTTGTACGCCCTTGCCTACTTGATTAAAAACGCGAATCTTTGAACTACGTTCTTAAGTTATAGTCAGATGAGAATCATTGTTACCTTGTCAAAAACGAGGCAGATAAAATAATAATTAGTAGATAACTAAGCACAAAAAATATATGTGTTATTGTTTTAATATTATTGTCTAACATAAGTATTTGTTATAAACAAAAAGAATCTAAATTAAGACTGTAAGTCTAAATTATCTAAATGCGAGAGTTTGTGTATCTGTGTGTTGCGACAGAGATGGATTATAGTTTGGAATAACACAGAGACACTTTTTATTCCACGGGGAGGCGAGCGAAGCCGCAGGTAGAACCTAGTACCTATTATTTAAATTTGAAAATGTCCTCACAGTATTAGCATGGTACAACATTTGTTTTTAAAAATAGCTGACAGTGCATACCAGTATTACCATTAGATAATGGTTACGTTACATGTTTGTAGAATTTATATGTTAGTGCTGTGAAAATGGATTATTAACTAGATGATGTCCAAGTCTTTAGAGATAGATAATAATACCTAAATTAATCGTCAAAAATAAATTATTTTAGTTTCAGAAATTGACAGAATACACAGTTCAGTAGTTTACATTTTTTTAATAATTATTATTCACTTTAATTGTATTATAAGTGATATGCAATATTATAAATGACTTGGGTAACCATGAAGACATTTAGAGATTTAGCAGCACAAAATAATGGGATTTAATTTTATATATACCTACCTCCATAGAAATAGCACTACGACTTTTTGGTAGAATAAAAAATAAACAGCAATATAAAACAATAAATTATTCATTATGTTTTCGCCTTGCTCAAGTAATTATTTGACGAGGAACTCGACGAGTCGCGTGTCGCGCTGCTACTTAGCTGTTAGCAGCGCGACAGTCGCCGCGTCGCAGGTCATGAAATGCTGCTCATGAATATGAGCCTCTAGCATGGCTTGAAACTAGTCGAGTACCTCGTCAAATAATTACGGAGTATGACAAAAACATAATAATTTATTTAGTATGTCTCACGAGAGTTATAATACAAATATAAAACAAGCAAAAAGGATTCTCAAAATGTATAGATCTATTTGATAAGGAAATCTCCAACAAATATAATTAATATACTTCCTTTAGCGTTGTGGTTTTAGATGTTGTCTGTTTTGTGTCAACATTTAATTAAAATAAAAGCACTAAATATTTACCTCATAAGTATTTTACACTGGTCGTAATACGTGTCTATATTGACTATATTATAACACCCCACTTTTACGTACCTTTTTTTCACAGTCCCATAGCATTTTAAAGATATAGTGTATAAGATCACAGTGCCAAACTTTTATATGTCTTTTGATGTTATGTGTAGTTTAAATATTTGTATAATAACACTAATAATAGCAATATTTCCAAATTAAAGCGAAACGATATAGCGTAGGTGTATGTCGTTTGTAAATAACCGATGTAAGTCAAAGGTCAAAAGTCCACTGCCACCGTGTGTGATGTTCACACGGCAATGCGTAAGTAATTTCATATTAATGTGCATAAAAACGCGTGTGTACGCATAAAAACACGCACGCGTACGCACACGGTTATAAATATGCGTGTGCATGTGTGGATAAGCGCTGCAGTGCAACCGATAGTAGTCTTACGGTGGCAGTGGACTTTTGACCTTTGACCGTACCGTCCTCTGACAATGGTATTGCATAGCTTTAAGCTAACATAGAAAGTTCTGTATTGAACAAAATGCACTTAAGTATTATGGAATCAGAGTACCTAGTGGTTCTTTGGATGTGGAGGTGGTCACCAAAAACGTTTTAGAAGGTATGGTGAGAACGCCAAACTCCTTTTTTCTTCTTAAAACACTTGGGCGCCTTTTGAAGGCTCGATGCAATGAACAGGTTAAAAATGCGCGATGATGATGTATCGCTTCGCTTTAGTTTGATAAAATAATAATATAAAAGCGACCTTATGAAGAGGTAATAAATAATAGTATTAATTAAACTTAGATTAAATATAGAGAACGCCCGTTTATTTAATGTTGTTAGATTTAGATATGTTGAGTTGTAAACTCTTTTTTGAAGGTAGTATAAGCACTTCATTCTTGTCTAGAATTTAAGTCAGTCAAGTTACCTAGGTATTGTATTTCAACCTCCAAGAAAAGAGACTATTCCTTTTTTAAAAAGCCGGTAACGCACCTGTGACTTCTTTGGTGTTGCGGGTGTCCATAGGCGGCGCTGATCGCTTACCATCAGGTTAAAAATAAAAAACAGTTATCTATCTCAACTTTCAAAACAATTTTATACTTCTATGGGTTCTCTATGTAACCATACCAAATCATTTGGCTGACCTCAGCGAATGGAGCGCTTTTTATGCATTTGTTGCAGGACTTATTTACATACTAAATCCAGTATCTATATATATTTTTACGTTCCAAGTTCGAAATATATAGGCCGTATGTAGGTTGTTAACTTACCTACTTTTTTTTTTATTAATTCACGGTTATAGGGACATATCTAAATCATGTTTTTTATACTTTAATGCCTTGTTTATAACAATACCAATTTAGTTTTTTTCCACAAATAGCAATCGATTCTAGTCAAAACTTTCAAGCTTTATTCTTCAGTAAGTGATTTTAATTGTAATATAATTGTTATTTATTAATTACTTACAAAATTTTAAATGTTAAACTGTGATATTATTTTGATCTCACGATATTATTTTATTATGAACACGTATAAATCGTACGCCTTCGATACTCGCCATGTATTTACTGTTATATTTGTATTATTGTATACTATGGTGTTCGATGTAATAGGTATAATAAACAATTTTGTAATAAATGTTATGTTTTATTTTCAATCTGATGAAATATTTTTTCTTTGTGGGAATCGCACCTGTTACCAGTTAGATATTCCGCAGCAGCCGGTCGCCCAGTCACTCCAGAAATGCAGACTGCACCAATTATGCAAAATTTAGGTACTTACATAGGTAATGATTTTTTTGCTGGAATGCCTCGTTTGCCAAGTGGTGGCAAGTGTTACTGAAGGGCAAGGGGTCTCGGGTTCGATTCCTGCGTCGGACAAAGTATTGCTGGGTTTTTGAAAGTCTCAGTAGTAGCACAGACTCTGGAATCGTGTCTGGTATGGCAATATGCTCACCCCCTATTACATGGGACTTATAACATAAATAGTGAAAAGTGGGTGTTACATTGTACAGTGGCATTGCGCTGTAATGTGCACCTCTGCCCCTTTGGGGATAAAAGGCGTGATGTTATGTAGGTACTTGTTTATCCATAGTTCATTTTTTAAATGGTCATCATCATGATCAACCGCCTATAAATGCCCACTGCTGAGCAAAGCCTCTCTTCTCACACGGAGAAGGTCTGAGCATTAATCACCACGCTTGCTCAATGCGGGTTGGCGAATACAAACTTTTTGGAAATTTTAAGTCCAGGTTTCCGCACGAGGTTTTTCTTCACCGGTGGTCAGTGGTGTCTAGATAATCTTGGAAAGTACATAATTATGTATATGTAACTTGGAAAAAGTTACATTGGTACTTGCTGTTGGTAGGTATCGATTTCGAACCCACAACTCTCATGCATGAGAAGCGGGCGTCTTAAACCTCCGGGTCACCACGACCAGTTTATGAGGTACTTTACCAAAATATGTAAGTAATGTAAGTCGTCATAATTCATAGAAATAGTCACCTTATCTCATGGCACTGACCTACAACTAATTAGTTAGCAATGTTCACGTTAACTCACAGGTATAAAAAGGTAGTTCTTCAACTTCAACCAAGTTTTATTCAAGATGAACTCAAAGAGGACGTTATTACTTATTTTTGTGGTACTAACTCTTAATAAATGTGTGTCCAGTTTCTTTTGGAAATCTTCTGCTGATACCGGATTGGATGGCGTGAAGAAAGCTCCTAGAAGTAAGTATTTGGTGTTAAACAATTTCTGTAATTCGTAAGTTATAGGTAGGTATATAATCATAAAAGGGTGTCTTTAAAAAAATAATTAATATTACCTACACAAATTGCGATTTCACTTCTGTATGACCTAGGTTTACTAGGCATTGACTAGGTATCTACTATGGACTTTTCTTTGTGCGACTATGTAACTGATTAAAATAATCAAGTAATAGCCATAGCACAGGTTATCCTAGATTAGTTTGGGTTCCTGACTTCCATCATTGCATTGTCACTTAAATTACGCAAAACCATATGTAGAACCAGTATTAACTCGTAGAGTACCGGTTTTGTAGACACAATTATAGAAGAATAGGTTGTTCTATAATTGTGTCTATAATGACGGTACTCGACGAGTTAAGGTCTACATCACTATGAAATATGATGGAAAAATAAATTAAAAATTCGAAGTGAAGCGATTTCAGACTCGAAGCATTTTGTAATCAATATGTATTCTCCCATTTATTACCAGTACCAGTCAGTACTTACGTATGTTATCTTTTTACCGAAATAACTATTGATCAATCAGCCAATAGAGGAATTGTCAAATAATTTACACTGAGCTGTATGATACTTGCAGTGAATTGGCCAATCTTCGGGATCGGCGTGTGGTGCAATGGCTGTCCACCCCGAAGCTGCGAGGACGACGAAGCTATTATACACGGGTACTGCTGCGGCTGTGCTTATTCGTTAGGTAGGTGAATTGTTCTAATAAGTTCATTATATTGTGCTTGGAAGTGCGATAATCGATACTTTACAGTAGACGGTTGTCCATAACTGCTGAGTCAAACGTGTAATCATTTTTTGAGTTTTTGGACATAATGAACATAACATAACATCACGCCTTTTATCCCCGAAGGGGTAGGCTCTAATGTGCACCTTTACCTAATGGTACAATGTTACACCCACTTTTCACTATATTTATGTTATCAGTCCTATGTAATAGGGGGTGAGCCTATTGCCATATACCGGGTAAAATTTCAGACTCCGTGTAACTACCGAGATTAAAAAAAAAAACAAGAAATACTTTGTCCGACCCGGAAATCGAATCCGAGACCCCTTGCCCGGCAGTCGCACTTGCAACCACTCGGCCAACGAGGCAGACGATATGTCCTATTTTATTTAGACTCAAACAAGAGATGTCCGTCATTTAGATTTTTCTAACATTAAGCATTTTGTTTCCCAGTTTATTAAAAACAAGATGTGACGATGTGATCTATAAATCTACAACACAATATTATGATTTTTGTTCACAGATCAACTTCCAGTGACTTGTCCAGAATTCCTGCAGTGTCCTTTGAACTTACACGGACTGTGCCACGACTATGAATATATGATGCGATGCTGTTGTTGATAATATTATGTACCTACCTACCGAATACGCCCCCACTTGTGACACTACCAAAGAGAACCTATGCTATCATAAATATAAAAGCGACCAGTGTAGTACAAGACCATTGCAAAGTTCATTAACATCATGATTGTGTCTAAAATAGTTATTTTACAACAAAATGTAGTACAAGGTAGTGTTAAGGACAATTAAAATAAAACATCTCTAAATATAGCATACTGTTTTAATTTCTAAGAAACCCTCAATACAGAAATTACAGGGGGTTAGCGGTCTTGATTTAAGTAAACTTAACTCTGACATAATAGTACAAAAATAATGACAAACCAAGTTAGTACATAGGACGAGAGAATCAAATAATTTATACCATTTATAGTCTAATGTTTCATATATTAGTATTAAATTCATATCATTTACCTAATTCTCTTAACAATTTAAGTGAAAAATAGGGACGAAAACATTGAGTGGGACTATCCTAATAGGTGAAACATTGGACTGGTCGTTAAAATTTAAAATTATCACAAATTGCTGTGAGAGTGATATATGAATATTTGTCTTTTATTAATACTATGATCCCGCTTCGATGGCTACAAGTTTAATATAAGTATCTGTCTAATTATCTAAGGCCAATATGCTATATCTACAATTTTGTGTTACAATTCGCGATCCAGTTAAATATATCAACACAAAATGTTTATATAGCGTAACTCCAGTACGCCGTACATAAATACATTGTGGTTTATACGCTGCTATTGTGTGGGAGATAAAAACATATAAAACTTGTAAGTTTGCGACGTAAACTCTGCGGGTTGCGAAGGCGATAGGTTGATGGCGACAAATGCAAACTGCGGCCATCGCAATAACGTAATGGTCCCATTCTGAAACGTGCCGACATTCCTGGAGTAGTTAATAACATGTTACAATAGATAATTCATGGCGATCTCCCACACAATACCAGCTTATGCTATACAGAACGAATAATATAAACACCCAGTGCATACAATAAGGTTTATTAGTACCTCAAGTGACGAGAAATTAAATTTAACACAAGCTGAAATAAACGGAAATTAGCCTACACTTGGTAATGGACAGCTTGAGAGATAAACTCATGTACGGTCGGACACTACGCCACGCAAGCCCACGAGCACATCACAAGCAAGCTGAACACGACAAGTCTCTCTCTTACACTAGGTGACGCTACCAAGCAACCGGCGACGTGCCGCCAGTGACGTAGTGCGCGAGCGACGCACGGAAACAGTAGACAAAGCTCTAAAATAAATGTTTACATTACAATAATCATATAAATCTTGTGAATTTTCCCTCTCATACAATCTACATTGGCTCTCAGTTATTTGAACCTCCATCAAAATTCTTATAGTGGAAACAGCACAAAATTAACCTACAATATTCATTATATATAAACATGTATAAACATACACCCTTCCATTTCACCTGTTTCAACTAACAAGATATCGGACAGTAGCAACTTAACAGAAGTTAGCTTAGGAGCCGCGCCGAGTGTGGCCGGCGCGGCTCTACATAATATTATTTATAATTATATCAATATGATGCGATGATGAAACGTTTTGTGGTAATTGCATTTCTTGTGTGTAGGGGTGGCGGCCGGCGCCCGCGACTCCCGCTTCCCGTACGTCTTGCCGCCAGCCTGCAGATAATGAAAATAAATAAATAAATTGGTAATCATAGCACACAGCTTCGAATAGTCAAAATAAAACCATTGTACAAAAGTTAATATTATAAACATTTCACTTCTAAATTCTTTACTCTCAGATGAAGTGCGTGAAATTATAAGTATGTTTCGTAAGAGAAAGAGAAACAGAGGGGTCATTGATCCTATCAGGACCTTATAAAGTTTATGCAAACTATAAAAATATTATTATGGTTGCTAGTAGGCGTTGTTAGCGTCTAGAATGTAAACAAGGTATTATAATTGTGGATTATAACGTATGTTCCCAAAAAAGGCGTTTCTAAATGTGAAGACAATTCAATTTTCTGATGCATCGTTTACAAATGTTATGATTACAGCTTCAGTTACAAGGCAAATAACTACATTTCTTTTAGTTACAACCCTAGTGCGGGACTATGCTTTTTACAAATAAAAATAATATATTACTATGCTGCGTCATAAAATACATGATAAGTAAGGTACCTAGTAAAGCTTTCGTCTACAGTTCCTATTATATTACAACTAATTTATATGACAAACTCACCGTAGGCGGCGTATTCAGCAGCAAGAAGACTTGCCGGTGTCGATAGGGTGTCCCTGGTCGATCTTGACCTGTCCGCCGACAGGCGCGGCGCCGGTGGAGGGCGGGCCCACGCGGGTCTTGATCTCCGCTGCCATCGTCATGAACGCCTGCTCCACATTCGTAGAGTTCTTCGCTGACGTCTCCAAGAACGGAATGCCTAGTTGCTCCGCATATTGCTGTCGAAGATATTAAAAACATTGTTAATATATTGAATATATATGGATTAATTTTTGATTAACTATGAGTACATTAAGGAAGTCTATGGATAAGTATGGGAATGTCCTATTGCTGTTTTCTAAGTTTATTAAAGTGATGACTATATGCTGAGAGAGAATAACTTATTTTTTTTTTATTTGATGTGGTGACATTTGGAAAATATTTCGCCTGGTGGTATGATGCGGCTTACGGTGGAGCACGTCTGCTCATAAACAACCTATTCACTGGGGCCTTGAAAACACCTTGGTCATACCCTTCAGGAAACACAGACTCTGGCAAAGAATTCCACTCCTTAGCAGTACGCACAAGGAAGCTTGATGCAAGCCATTGGTGCGTGTACTTCGTGTACTTAATTTTTTAACATAAATATGTTAGATGCTCCTCTAACAATATACATTCTTAAGCTGCACTCTCCAAAGTTTATCAACAATTTTAACCAACTTCATAGCATCTTAATAAATGAAATCAATAATGGTGATACATAACAGAAATAGTTATTATGAAATTAATAACAACATGACATGCGTATGACTAATAAACTGTGTATTTTAATGCACACTATTCTTTGATTAGAACTACAAATAGATTAACCAGAGCAATTGTTATGATTATGATGTAGTAGATATAAAGACGCATCACTTTCTAATCTATCTATTACAACGCAGTTAATGTTAAGAGTACATCATTCAAACTGATTAAACAACGTAACAATAATATAAGACGCGTGTAAAATATTTAAATGCTTATTCATTCATTTGTATTGTAATAAAATGTATGTTTCTCACAAAAGATGCAGAAGCTTTGTATATATGTATATATTTATGTAATAGTTATGCATTGTTAACTGTGCGTAATTAATAAATTACGTAGCATTTCATAAACATAACATTGAGCCATTTATTTCCCAGAGTTAGGCATTAGTCCTTTGCGTTGGGGTAAATTTAATGCAACACCTATTTTTAACTGACTCTCAAAAAAGAAGGAGGTGGTTCTCAATTCGACCTGTATGTATTTGTTTGTGTGCGATTATCTGACGATTTGTTGGACCGATTTTGATGCAGTTTTCATAAAAGAGTTGGTAACGCTTGGGAGAAGGTTTTAGTATACTAATCAACATATTTAAAAAAAAAAAGAGGAGGTTGAAGTCAATTTTTTAAACGTGGTTTATAAAAGAATTATTTCATCAGTTAGCTATGAGTCTAATGTAATAGGGAGCGACTCTACAGCTGGGGGAATTCCTTACCTACCTCTTCTGGACAGAAACATACTGATAAGTAATTAATGACAATTTTCCTTGTTGTGGTATTTTATCTTATTAGCTGTCTCTTGTGGGTTTCCGGCATTAATACACCGAGGGATGTGGAAATTATCAGTCTCTGAGGGACGCCGGACATCAGTGTTCCGGTGTTTTCAAGGTTGTATCTACTGAAGATCCTGGCTTACAGGAGTTGCAGCGGTTTTGGGAGCTTGTTCCATTAAAAGAATGTCTGTCTCTGTGACCAGTAAATGGTAGACTGGGTGGAATTGCCTAATTTTTAGTACATAAAATGGAAGTAAATAAAGCAATGTGTGACTTACGTTGGCTGTGGTGTAGTCGACGACTTTCTTGGTGGTGAGATCACACTTGTTGCCGACCAGCAGCTTGTTGACATTGTCGCATGCGTAGCGGTCGATCTCCTCCAGCCATTGCTTCACGTTGCTGAATGAATCCTGAAAGGAACAACGTAACAGAAAAATGAATCGCTGAATGTGTCGGTCTTGTTAAGCGCTAATCTCGAACAAATGAACAAATATTGCTGTTTTTGTTGAGTTGTTATTGCTTGGAGAAGGTTCTTGTATAAGAAAAAAATAACAATTAGGCGGAATGTAGTTCGTGGGGCCAGTTAGTTTTTAACTAAAAATCACTCACAATAAATAGTTATCTGTTTTTCTGCCATAAGAATAATCATATCATACATCTTAGTATTGCAAATGAAGTCGGCAAAAAAGAAAGACTAAAAATAAGTAAATAGCTAACTTCGCCCTCAAAAAGTGACTAAGATCAAACCAGTCTAGTCAAATAACTCGTATCTATTATAATGTTGAAGTAACATTTTTTGATGATAACTCAGCTTATCTAATGCCTAATCTATTGCTATCGGTCAGAACAACCGTCGATACAATAATTGTTATTATATCTGTACACATTATGTAGCATTTCTCTGAAACTGCATGACAATTCTCGATGTGTTTTTTTGTTTGGGTATCACAACACACATGGTCGGTTAGTTAAATTTGGACCAGGTAGTACCGACGAAGGGGCACCTTTGTTGTATTTTGATTTTTTTAAACAACATCTGCGGCGTTGTTTACAGCCCCTAACAGCTGACTACCTGGTAACTATTTACCGAATAATTTTTCGTTCTTCTATAATATTTTTACACATGTTTTGAACATTATTAAAAAGAAAAAAAGTTGACAATTAGGGGCAGCTTGTGTGTATGTACATGCAATTTAGTAATTCGCAATTGTATAGCTGTATACTGCAAAAATGTATGAAACCGTTTCTTTGTTATGCGGCCAAATAACAGGGTCCATTGTGCTTTAAGACTTTGTTATGAAGTTATCAAACAAAATATCATGCAGACGCATTCGCAGACTTAATATAGTCAAGATTAAATTGTAAACACGTGACTTCGAACTTCGGACAGAGATGAACTCATAGGTGCAAAGTTCAGTTGTGTACAATGAATTAATAATTAATCATCATCGTATAATAGAATATAAGTACTTAGTACTATATTCGTTCATCTGTAAATGCTTAGATATAAGTGTTAGACAAGTCAATCTATTTACTAACTTTTGCTAAATACAAAATCTTTCATTCATTCAATTATATTCATTTAATCATTTGCAAACATGGGTACATAATATATAGGTGTTAATAAAGTTCAATTCGAATCTTTTAATACTAATCTCATTAACATTTGATTTCTATTAAAGAATTGAGTTTGAGAAAATCCATGACATTGACCAGTTTAATAGCTGTTCTGTTTTAATATGCATAAAAAATTTGGATTAACGCAAAATTATTAAACAAAACTTTATATTCAAATTCATTAAAGAGCCCGCAGTAAATAGTGCTTTGGCTTTGCGTCGGCATAATGCCAAATCCCGACTTTCCGGTTGACCTACATATTTTAAGGAGTTCAAACGAATATAAATATTATACTTACAAAGTTATAAGTATGTATATGCTCTCGATTTAACCTGCAAAACCTACTTAATGAATATTTTTATATAATTTTATGTTTAAAAGGTCGGGACCCATATTTTATCATCGCCATTTTGAAACTAATCTTATTTCTTTATTATTATTTGCACTTGGCAAAATTATAGTAATATTATATTCTAGAATCATGTATAAATATTCAATGCCTAAAACGATAATAACATAAGATATATAATTAAACTTGTATGCTAAAGAATGTTAAACGCATTCTTATTTCCTAATAAAGCACCACTCACCGAGGACGTGTGATAATGTGACGTCATGAAATAAAACATATTAAACAAGTATATTGATTCTTATCTGTAGCATATTAATTTATATGTAAAGCGAAGATTTTTATCGCCACGAGGCCTGTATGATAAGTATTACATAAATTACTTAGCTCATTTGGATTTCGTGCGCCTTCCAGATACCCACGTGGTCACATAACACCCCTCTGTCCTCCACTACGCAGAACAGTTCTTGGTGCAAACTCAACCATTACCAGATTAGCGAACGTCATAAACAATTGCAGTGACGTGATAGATATGCACCACGACAGCCTTGGTAGTTTTCGTAAATCAATTATTACATTATGCTCCCAGGGTCGCTTATAATAATAATAATTATCTAATAATAATACAATTTTATATCAATAATTTAATGATATCTAAAATAATCGCAAGTATTCTCAATTAAGTGTTCAATTGTTTCAGTCAATTAGTATTCAATTGTTTCAGGTGCCTAATTACGTTAGGTACCCTTGTCTTGGTTGTAATCCTACACATATCGACTCTAATGAATTTCAAATTTGATTTAATTTAATTTAATCCCATAATTAATTGAATTAATCGATCGCAACTTTTATGTTATGTTGCTTGATCGTGTTTCGAATGTTATAATTTTTTTTTATGTAACTTATTCTAACCGTTTTATGTGCATGCTGTGTTAGCCAGTAAGTAGTTGTTACACTTACCAAAGTATTATTTGTTATGATGTAATGAATGTATGAGTGTAAATAACTGTTGGTTAACCTAATAAATAAATAAATAAATTCATAAACGAATAATTTCATATTATCCTCTTGAGACCGTGGGTACACATAATATTATGCACCTTCAATTTATTAAAGTTAAAACTAGTAGCTAGTACTTTTGAGTGCTTTTAGTACTTGAATGAGTTACTATAGTTTATAGAGTTTCGATATAATCCAATAGGTGGCGTCGCGGAGAAAAATGGTTAAATATTTTTTTAATCCGAATTTTATCGTTGAAATCTTTTCGAAGTGACCGCTATTTGTGTTATTTGAATTTCCGTAAAAAATCAAATTGTTTGTATTGCTGAATTATTGGACTAACGTGTGAATGGCAAGTTTTAAGTTTTTTTTATTTTTTATCGTGTAATTGTCGTCTTGTTTTAATGGTACACATCTATTTAGATTAATAAAAAAAATGTGTTTCTATGTCCCTACAACTACAATAAACCACAAAAAACATTATTATCATATTTGTCTTAAGAGGTTAAGTTAAACTTGTTACTATTACAAATTGTAATTTCGAATCTGCTTCAGTGGCTTTAAAGTTCAAAATGCAATAGGTCAACAACATTGTTGATAATAAAATTGATATAAAACACCTTGAAGGGAAACCAGTAACTGTTGCTGTTGACCTTAAGTTAACTGATAACAGGTACTTGTGATAAAAGGTGGGGAGGTCTTTGCCCTGTCTGTGATGAAAATAAGTTCACTTTATCAGTGTAGTAAGTTGGAACTTGGAGGAGGTACTTAACGGCGTCTAGACAGATCACTAATTACTTGGTTCCCAGTTACAATAGGAAGGGTTGATAGATAGTTGTATTATAATCATTGTAATCAATCACTGAGGTTTTAAATCATAAATTGAATAAAAGTTATAACCTGACTCCTTGGAAAGCTTCTCGGAAGATTATCTATCAATTAGTATTTAGAAGCTTAGATTTTAGCAAAGTTCACTTGAATTAACAATGTTAAGCGCATGTAGATAAGCAGTGTCGACTATCCAATATCAACTTGATTTATGTCTTGCCTCTTTGGTACTAATGGTAGCGACTTCATTATTATTTATTAGCCACCCGCACCGGCTTCGCACGGGTGCAATATGCATGTATTATACATATTATTAAACTTACTTAAGAATCACTCTATTAAAAAAACCGCATCAAAATCTGTTGCGTAGTTTTAAAGATCTAAGCATACATAGGGATAGTATAGATAGATAGTGATATCAGTGAATGGACTTTCCCTTTTATTTGAAAGTAAATGTAACTGTGAAGTTTTGATGAGACAAGTGTATCAAAGCAAATAAAATAATAATGCGTTCCTATAATTTCGACATATAAACAACATTTTAACTCGTCGAGTACCGGTTTTGTAGACACAATTATAGAACAATAGGTTGCGGTCACCGGTGACTGCTTGGTGTTTGACAGTTTAAGTTGCGACTATTGATTTTTTTGTTGCATTCATTTTAATCATACTTTTTAGGGACTTTTGGCTATTAAAAGACTATCCACAAAATCACGAGTTACAAGCGTCTGCGTCTCTAAATAGAAGCCTAGAAACTTCACTTCTATCTATGGCCTTACAGAACAGTCTCTGAGTGAAAGTTGCATTGATCTTGAAAACTATTCAACCGTATTACCTATTTCAATGTTAGATAGATACTTAATTATTTATTATAGTTATATGTTTGACATATCAGTGTAAGAACACAGATTGTTTGGTATTCTTTGTCTTCCATCGCATATTTAACTACAATAACACCTAGACGTAAGTTTCTATGAGAGAATAATTACTAGAAACATCTTCTAGCATCTAATCAGTATTTCCGAAAACGTATTTTGATAAAATGAATTGCGTTCATAATTCGCATTCCTAAATCAAACAAAAGTAAGTTGACCTAATTGTTTAACTCGATCAAAATGCAAGCTCTAAGTAATCGTATCATGTCTTGGAAACAAGGTCGACAACCTAATGTGGGGCAGATAAATTATCTAGAACAAATGGATGAATTGCTGCAAAACGTCAGCAAATCGCTTTTGTCTAGATTCCTAGACTATTGTAGTAAAGGAATATCTATAAACTTCGTTAGTATTATGCTTAACCATAACGTAACATCGCGTTTTCTCTTAAAAAAGGTGAGTACTAAACAAAAAATATTGCCCCACCCCAAGATTTTCTCCTCTGTTGTGTGTGGTTTTATAAACATACAATTTTACATACACATGACACCCAGATTTGAAACAACAATTTGTGGATAACTCAAAGTCTTGCTTCGTACAGCAACCGAACCCGCCACACGTCGCGCGGCTACTGGTTACTCAGCCACCGCACCAACCGTGCAGTCCACTTATTTATATATTTTTCTTATGTGAAGGGAATATGAACTACACAATGAAAAATCCGCGTAATTTTAAAACTACTAACCCTGACAAATATATTTACAGCTAGAACTAAGTAGCAATTGAGTTGAATGTTTGTAAATAACCATATTTGCATATTGGTCACGTTTTTGTATGTAAATTGTGATTAAGCCGGATTTGAGATAAAAACCATTTCGGTATGGAGTATAGAGGAAAATCATTTGAACATTTGCAGATAACAACAAAAACCAGTATAATCACGCCAGTTTATGGTAAGTATTGGCAGAAGCGTACCGTAAGTAGTGGAAATACTTTTCTCAATGACCGATGATAAGATCATCTATTAAATGATTACAGAATGCATAGAATACATCTTCCTACACGCCATTTAGAAGTAAACAATCGACCAAATGAAGTTAAAGTTAATGTAAACAAGGTTTATTAGGCAGCTGAATGATTAGCAGAGCCCGTCATTGTTTACAAATCGTGAGCGAGTACCAAGGAGTAGGTATTTGGCAGTTGGACGCGTGCCAAGCGCCCGCTCTCCATAAGTCATTTGCACAAACTTGTAGTAGGTATATTGGTCATAAAATCTTGGAAAGGACCTATATAAGTGTTATAAATAAATATAGGGTAGTATAAATAAATTCAAAATAAAGGATGACCAAGGCATTATGGATAGTGTAAAGAATTATATGAAAGAGGTAGGAGTTTGTGACAGGAGGGACTCCAAGTTGCTTGCGATTAAGTCAGGAAAAAGAAGACCATAGGTACCTACACCCCCCTAAAATAAAATTAAATACAGAGTATATAAGAAAGTATGAGGGTATGATAGTGTGTTGTGTTTGTCATGTTAATATGCAAAACGGCTGCATGAATTAAGATGAAATTGCGATACCATGAGCTGCATTATTAACATAGAAATACCACTCACACAAGACGACATATTTGTTCGTTATGCCTATGTAACATTCAATTCAAAAACCAGATTCACATTATATGCATTTCTGTAACACCATTACAATAGTCTTCATTATTTTCTGCACGACATTTAATCGGAAGTACCTACTTATTATTAATTATATTTTCAATTAATTTGTTTGAAACTTTTTATCTCCGTGACTCATTCAAATTTGCTTTCTTGATAGGAACATGTCAATCAAGTAATTCCAAAACTGAAACTAATGCAATCGGCATTTAAGCTTATCAAACCAGCTGTGCCAGCTATGTGTTGTTAGAGTTATATCACATAATACTAAACAAAGGAGATTATACACTTGCCCTATTTGCTCTGCAATGACCAGTAAATGGAAATACTACTATTATCAGATATAAAAAAGAACTCTTGTTTGTCACTTTACGTTGAATAGGTTCTAAAAGTACTGGACTGATAAGAAAATTTAACTTAACATTATTAAGCTTATTTTTGTAAGGAGTAGAAGTACCTATCTCGGGTTTAATTCTATCGACCTTCTTATAGGATTGAAACCTACTTAATAGACAACTTTTAAATTAATCACATGGGTAGACGCAGGCGGACAATTAGAAGCAAATAAACAGGAAAATACTTTTGAATTCACCTAGATAAGAAAGTGACATATTTTTATGTAAATGCTTGTATAACTACTACAACATTATTATTTCTGGAATCAAAGGTAGAGCCTATATTAACTATAAACGAGTATATCAGTCAATAAATGAACCAATCCTACTGTTTTTTTTTCTTCTGACGCATGATGATTTTTATATTATGTACGTTCTAGTGATTCTCGTAAAAAAAATGCTATAAATATCTGCGTCATGAACTGGTCGCAATCAGCAAGCGACATGGCGACATCACGCCTTGTCACAACTCACAATACGTAATCATGGGACATCTGTCGCCGACTACATCTGCGTATGCGACTCGACTAGAGTATGCGTCAATTAGTCACATTTACGTAGCATTCATTATAATTAATGTTTATTTATATATACTGGAAAAGTATAAATAAGAATAAGTAACTAAAAATCTACCATCCTATCTGGAAGTCATCGGGAGAGGCCTATGTTCAGTAGTGGACGTCCTTTGGCTGATATGATGATGACGAGAAAAGCTATACTAGTTTCGAGAGTCGCGGAGAACCTAACGGGTAACCGGGGCTCCGACTCGACGTGCAGGAGAAGGAACGGGGTGGTTTTTAGTCAGTAAGAGTCTGACACTCCCTCCCGCCTCACCCAGGCGGGAGCAGTCATTCGATGATTTTCCCCCCTTAAAAAAAAATACTAGTTTCGAGTCACAGTAATTTTAGTTAGAAACTCGTAATTGTTAATTCAGATTGTCTTATGATAGTTATTATATTATAAAAACATAAGAATCAGTCATTTAGACAAAAAACAATATATTTTGTGTTAAAAATTGGCTGGAAATAGGCTTTAACTATTGTGTTTGCGCCTATGAAGTCAGTTAATAGTAGATGGATGGATGGCATGAAACCAATCCTACAAATTCACAAAGGGCTAGGTGGTAATCACTAGGCAGACTAACAGATACTATGTAATGTGTCATCTACTTTTAATCATTTATTTTATGGCTCTCATGTAATATAGGGCGAGAGCTTTACTTCACTTATGAACAAGCACTAATACATTGTTCAATGCATCATTTTACTACCTAATGCAATGGCATGAATGTCCAGGTTACAGGTAGAAGTTATCTATATTTTTTAATAATAATGTTAGGTCACCTTCGATTGATCTTTGATGATTTTTAGTTTGTTTGAACAACTTATTTTGTCAATGTTATTAGGTATTAAACTGTCAAACACCAAGCGGTCACCGGTGACCGCAACCTATTGTTCTATAATTGTGTCTACAAAACCGGTACTCGACGAGTTAATTGTGACAGCAATACATATCATCAACAACAAACCAATAGGACAATAAAATAATTAAATTAAATAAAACATTGACAACCATTTCAAGGGAAGTTGATGAGGAAATTGTTAATATAGGTATATTAAAAATAATACACACATTAATTAAAAGTATAACACAGCTATCCAAATAAGTAATAGCAATCTAATTGGTGAAAAAAGTTTCAAAGTCATAATGGAGAACAACCTCTTTTTACAAAGTTACTTTCAGATCAGATTCACTGCGGCAACTTTCTACCTTACGGTACAGATAAAAAATACTGAATCTGTTCTTAACTAAACTTAATTAAGTTCCAAATAACTAATTGCATTTTTTGTCTTGTTAGCAAGTTATTTCTTTTGTTTAGACACTGATGCTAAGTTTTAATTTATTGATCATTGAATATATCAATGAATATTAAGTAGTGCTGTAAAGTTTATCCCCTTATTGTTTTGAATCGATTCATAGTCTGTGATATAAAGATCAACAAAGGAGGTTGAGCAGTCTAAAAATAATGAGTTATATTTAGAGTCCATAGCCACCAACTTTAAAAATAAACAGGATACTAGTTAATCAAAATTGGAACTTATAATAGACCTTATTATTGTAGTATTAGAATTTTTTTTATAGGGAAATAAGTGTTTATATGTAAAAAGTTGGTAGTATTGTCAAGAATATTATTGTTTGGGGTACTCACCTGGTCTGTGCAATCATAAACAATGATAATTCCGTGTGCTCCTCTGTAGTATGATGAAGTGATTGTTCTAAACCGCTCCTGTCCAGCTGTGTCCCATATTTGTAACTTTATTGTCTTGCCGTCTAAGTCTACAGTCCTAATTTTAAAGTCCACACCAATAGTGCTGATGTAGCTCTCTGTGTAGGTGTCGTCGGCGAACCTGAGCAGCAGACATGACTTGCCAACACCAGAGTCACCAATCAGGAGTAGTTTGAACAAATAATCGCTGAAAGAGAACAATTACGTTTTTAGTGGTCTGTAGCAGTTCCGAGTTCACTTGTTCAAGGACAGTGCACGAGCGATGCGCATCAATAAACGTAAATGATAAACGAAGGGAGGCGTTGCTTTGTTCCATATAACAAAGAGTTCGACGAGTGGGAAATCTTTACTCGTTCGACATGCATCCAGATTGGAAGAATCAGGAAATGAACACTGGTACAATCATCACTCACTAATGCGCCATTCATGATACATACGATTACGTTTTCACAAATACTTCGATAATACCTACCTACCACGAATACACAATGACTCACCCAATTTATCGTAAATTAATTTACTATTGGCACACTTTAACTCGTTTGTGTATTGCGGACTAAGAGTTAAAAGAAACAAATTCCATGGAAAGACAATGAACACGCAAAAAAGATGGGTTTTCTACACCATCCTTGTTTCTATAATCGCCATGTTAAAAGTAATAAAAATACTTACTATTCTGGATTCATGTTTGTACTATAAATGTATTTTTTCCAAAACTATAATATTATAGAATATGTCGAAAATAGTTACGTTCTTTGTTTCTAGCACAAAACAGCAAAAAAATTAATAATTATACGTAGAATAATGGCCGCCGTCCGAAACACCCACTGACGTAAGTCAGAAATTTAAACAGGAGTGCCACTTGGCAGAAACTAAATCACGTTCGGAAATTGATCGAGTACAATTAATCGACTAAATAATTTTGTTTTCAAATTATAAATCCTACTTTTCTATGTAAATATTGTGTTCTACATTGTCGTTTCTATTAATTAATTTAATTTTTCTTTTGGTCAAAATCACTCAATACTTGTTTGATTGTCTAAATCGATCATGATAAAAATAAGTATCCTGTGTATGCCAATAACAGGGACGGCGGCGACAACTTGATTTAATTTATTATAATAAATAATTTGGTTTAATGACTGTAATGTTACACTATTTTCATTTAAATAAACAAATAAAATAGAAACTTCAAAAATTCTAGTAACAGTAATCCTCTATATCTCTCAATATAGAAGATATATCACAATAATACTTTTTATAATACCCTCTGTTAATGTAGTTATGGAATAGGAGGAAAATTAGTAGACGGATCACCTGATGGTAAGCGATCAGCGCCCATGGATACCCGCAACACTAGAGGAGTCACAGATATTGTATTACAAGGAAAAGCGTTTTATTTTCTGGTACATTTATTTTTGAAAAATTGGCTACAGACACATTCATCAATCAATCAAGTTCATTTTTATACATTCCAAATAGTAACTGACTATACAAGGAAGGATTAAACACTTTCAACTTAAATAGATACACGATATGTTCAGTCAAATACTGTTGCTCCGCTTTATTGTCATCAGGAAAGGTTGCCAGAAGACTGGCAATATTCCTGCACGTAGGCAATACGTTTACCTAAAAACAGAAAGCCAGAAACTCTGAAGCCAGCCCTCTGGTTACAAACATTGACAAACTGCGGGACTATTTTCTAAATTAGTCATACACTTGGACCCCAAAATGGCTCAAAATTACAAAAAATTAAAATTATATTCGGTCTTTTAGAATTTAGATATTTCAAAATACATTTATCTTGAGACGACAAAGTAAATCAGTGGATAAATGTTGATTAATAAAACCAGTAGTTCTGATAGTTTTTGGCGGATATAATATCAGAACAATTAGACAACCACTAAACTTGTAATATTACATTATCTTGGATTGTAGACATGTTAAATAATTTCAATCGTTTCTGCTACACATTTAGAGATAAAAATGACATCGACAAACTACTTGTAAAATACTGGAGCATACATTTTGTGGACAAAAGCTTACTATTGCTATTTACCAATCTATTGACATAACAAACAAACACAACATTATCTCATACTTGAACGCAACTTAATATAAGTGCAATAAAAAGGAAATTAATACTATTAAACTCCTTTTATTTTATATAATAATATGTACACATTGGCTCAATCCAAACAAAGATCACGGAATACATTTATATTAAGGTAAACGTGAGATTTAATCTACAACACTTAATAAGAGACTTATAAAATCATTTCTTGTAATATACTTAATGGTATCTTCCATATATACAAACTCCTGTCTTTGTAGCCAGCGATAATCTGTAAAAGATAAAATAAAATAATTTTATTATGAGAAGTAATTATTATTGAATTTTTATTTGTAAAAACATTAACATATTCTTATAAATATCCACTAAGGTAACCATTTACGGTTATACTATAATTTTGTTGCTTATAAGTTTATAAAACATTAAATTATGCATTTAAATTAGAAAGTCTAGGCACATGATAACATTTTCTATTTGAATACCTACATTACCCACACAATATTCTTTTTTCTGCCCATAACCCGAGCTACCTATGATTTCTTTGGTCACTCTACCTTTCCATGTTTAAATTAAGTCAAAGAAAAGGAATTACATATTTCAATTAAACTATAATTTGGTACTTTTAAAACGTCAACAAATATGAAATAAATAATGGTCTATCAGTTTGTCCAATAGTGAAGTTAGGTGCTCGTTCCAAAATGTAGATTCAAATGGATAAGAATGACCAAGATTTCCATTTGTTACTTAAAAAAATATATAATATATTTTACAATCTCTATTGTACACTATCCAAAATTGCAAATTAATGTGATTTGAGAACAATGTAAAAACATGCTTGACGCATAATAGAAATTATAGAACTTAATAGAATAAAAAACAAAACAAATTTCTTATACTAAGATTCTAACACTTCATTTTCATTGTATAACCCACACAACAAAATGTGTTTGTATACCAACACTATTATAATATAATATATTATTAATTATTATATTATAAAGAAATCTTTGGAACTCCTGGTTTAATTTTAATAAATATTATTTTTGTTTTAGGTAGTCTTCCGCGCGGTTTCACACGCTCTGCTCAGTTCCTATTGGTCGTAGCGTGATGTTGTATAACCTATAGCCATCCTCGATAAATGCGCTATCCAACACAAAAAGAATTATTCAAATGAGACTTGTAGTTACGGAGATTAGCGCGTTCAAACAAACAAACAAACAAACAAAAATACAAACTCTTCCGCTGTATATAATAGTATAAGATACGATCAAAAGGAGCTGAGAAGCAGGTGGAACCGCACACGTAGCTAGTAGTAAATGAATATTTTCTCACCTTGCTACCGACAACGGCGAGCGATAGCAACATGAGGCTGGGTCCTCGAAGCTGCGCGAGTGGTCTGACCTCTCCCTCCCTGTACACGTACACGCAGCCGTCATAGCATCCTGCGAACAGCAGCCCGCCCGTCGCCCGCAGGCACACCGCGCCCTTGCCGCCCTCGTGGCAACCCGTATGACTTCCACTCTGTAATACGAATTATGATGTAAATTACTTAAAATTACAAATTATGATGTTCTGCTTTTTGACCTAGGCGGTAGGTGCATGTATAGTCCATGCAATTTTATGTACACTAGTATGTTATGAGCCCTATGTAATAAGTTAAACCTATCTATATAGATAGATAGATGGGCTGTACAGTACAGCGGCGGCGGGTACAGTTACAAAACCATGTAGTTACTGAGAATTTTCGAAATGAATCTTAATTGCACTCCAAAAGTAGCACTTGAGACGCGCTTACACTTAATCTTAAAATCAGTTCAATGAAACTTACAGCATAATCAAAAACATGTATCTGATGACTGCTAGTCCCACAGTACACCTTTCCATCTTCGAACAGGAGAGTGTACACTGTCATCTTGGGCCCAGAGAGCGTTCTCAGTAGTAGGCCGGACTGAGCATCCTTTATGGTCACATCTTCAGATCGGGCGGCCACTAGCAGGACCTTGCGAGCTCCTTCCTTCATGGCACGTAGCGCTAGGATCGACTGCTCCGAAAACTTCACTGTACTCACTGGTATTAACATGTTATTCTGAAATTGAGAGAGAAATGTTTAAGTATGCAGGTAATTTTTTGTGTTGTTTTTTGTTGTAGATAGCTTGGGAGTCTATGGGAGCTTATTTTTTTTATTTTAGAAGGCTTCATGCACTTATTAATGTACAAGGTGGGCTTAATGCCATGGGCATTCTCTTCCAGCCAGATCTTTGGGTGATGCAGAGACAAAAACAATGGTCAATGCAATTTATGACTTTAATTTGGAAAATCATACGCCAGATTCGCTGTATGGTGACATCAGAGTATCTACAATATATTTGTCACCACAGATGCTCCTTCCGCGGGTGTCATGTCGTAATAAGAGCAGACTAAGTGACTACACATTGGATAGAGATCAACTTTTAACCTTTGTGAATATGACTCTGTTGTGCGTGTCCTTGTGTACTATTTGGTGAATAAAGAAAAATGTATTTTGATGAAATAAATGTCTTTAATTTCAGTTCCACAATACTTCGTTATTACTAACTACGTACTATGTAGATGTCGAGGCAGGGCGGTGTGACGTACGCGACTGGCGAGCCGAGCGCCCGCGCTCCCAGGTTTCGACAATAATGCAACTCAGCAATTTGCGGTTACTAAGCCGCCACAACTCCAACCCACTTGCCAAATGTGAAGATTATAGCAACTCTAGGCATAGACCTAGTCGCGGAGAACCTAACGGGTAACCGGGGCTCCGGCTCGACGTGCAGGAGAAGGAACGGGTTGGTTTTTAGTCAGGAAGAGTCTGACACTCCCTCCCGCCTCACCCAGGCGGGAGTAGTCATTCAATGATTTTCCCCCCTTAAAAAAAACCCACTTGCCAAATGTGAAGCTTATAGCAACACCTCTTAGGAAGAACAGGCCCATAGCCCTACTGTGGACTAACTAACACCAGTTGATGATGTCGAGATGCAACAGAACTACCTACCTGTAATTTCTCGAACAAGTCCTAAGATTACATATTTCCATTTGAGATTACTCACCTTACATTCAAACTGCAGTACAAAGCCAGTCCTAGTGCCGACGAAGACTGTGTCCCACGCGCGGTCCATCGTCTGTATGGGACTGAGAACATTGCACTCCGGACCCTTTTCCAGACCCGTCTGAAATATATAATACAAAATGTTGGTTCATTTCGAAAACAATTACTTGTTTAAGTGCCCAAATATTCAAAATGTTTAAAACCTTTTAGACTTTATCTCTAATAATCAATCTAATATTAATTACTAGCTTTTACCCGCGGCTTCGCTCGCGTCACAAAAGGATAAAATGTAGCCTATGTGACATATACCAATACACACAGCGCCATCTATACCAACACTTATGTTTTCAATCGGGAATATCAAATTTTTCCGGGATAAAAAGTACCCTATTATTTAATCCGGACTTCTAACTTTACGTCTGCAAAAATTCAAAGCAATCGGTTTAGTAGTTACAGCGTGAAAGCGGAACAAACAAACAAACAAACTCGCTTTCCGATTTATAATATTATAGTAAGGATAGTAAGGAAGTAAGGATAGTAAGGATGTTACTTATTTCTGGAAATAGTCAGATATGTTTTAGTATTATTCTTTATAAGCACACGCAGACGAACCGCGATGAGTAAGCCATTAACGCCGCCCATGGACATCCTCAACACTATACAAGTTATAGATGCATTATCCGCCTTTTAAATGGCAGTACTCTTTTTGAAATAATAAACCAGACTTCTGAATTATTCAAATTCGTGTACTGTAATTTCAAACTTCTAAAAATGCACTTCTACTAACAGGATCTGTTATCAGTATCTCTTTATCTACGGATGACACCGTATATAGCTGTCATCCATATTGATAAATCCATTCTAAACTTTAAAATATTCATAACTATGAGCTGATGCATACAGCCTTGAATATGAGACAGTGAGACTAGTACATAAATAATATGATCCATATATAGATTAGGATCGACTGTTCAGTATTTATTTATAGTAGAGATAAACATATTGTGTTCTTTTTGTTGTTAGGTAATTTAAATTTGTTTCATGTGGGTGTAATATTATGTACCTACATGCAATTATGATGTAGACTATCTTCGGGTAAAATAAGGTATCATGCTTGATTGTCCTAATTTTGATTGCAACATACATTGGTTTTATGATGTCATTATATGTAGGTGTCTTAGTTCAAATGCTCAGATTCTTTTGGATTCGCGATGCTACACAGTTATGGGATTTTCTCTGATGCATTTACAATCTACACACCCAGAATCAGGCTCTGATAAAGTGTAACAGTGTTCTATATGGCTCAGCTGGTTACTTAGACGTAGATATTGCTGGCTCACAGTAAAAATGTACTTGTTAAAAAATGTGAAACTTACCGCCAAATCATAATAACGTATCCTGGAGTCTAGGGATCCTGTGTACACCGTGGTGCTACCCTTCTCCTTGACGATAGTGATGCAGGTGACGGCCAGGTTCGACCCACGCAACGTGGCTAGCAACTGTCCGTCACCGCTGAAGTGGTACACGTTGCCGTCCAAACACGCTGCTATGAAGTCACTTTCTATGCACTGGAAATTTTCAAATATTTTTGTTTTTTATTGACTCCAGAACTGATTTTTTGTAAGTGGGCGAATTTTATGATATTTTAGCCTAACCTGTCTTGAAAACATGGGCGTGAAACCAACCAAACCTGGTAACTATCGTACTAACTGTTGATAAAGTTGCTAAAGAAGTGAAATTTGACAAATGATATGAGTATTACATTTTGCAGAATTAACATTGTTATTTAATGATTTCTTGAATGTGTTTAAATAATAATAAAAAAAATAAAAATAAATACTTACTTCAACAGCTAACACGGCATCTGCGTTCCCGGTGATGGTAATGGAGTCTCGCCGCAGTTGCTCGTCAGTGGAGTAGTCGTACGTCATGCACTCCGCCACCTGACCCATACACCCTGCCACAGCTTCGTCGGCAGACGACTGACTATTATCCAGTATCACATCCTCACAAATGGTCCCTCTTTCTATGTCTTTATCCTCATTACATTTAACTTCACAATTATCCCCTATAACTATATCTTCTGATACATCTAACATATCAAATTGGAGATCATTTACAACACTTTCCTCTACCCGACTTGTGGAGGGTCTGGCTTCTTCGGTCTCTTCAACACTATAAACCTCTACCAAGTCAGGACTTGCAGGAGGATCTGTACACTGGGAAACTTCTTCAGATTGCTGAGCCTGTTGAGGCTGATTGGAACGTTGCGAGTGCAGGGAACGTTCAGAAGAGTATGAGGCCTGAGAGTGCGGAGAGGACTGGGAGTTCTGAGAAGACTCAGAGTGCAGATAAATTTGAGATCCTTCCTTAATAAACTTCGTCACATCAGTTTGTATAAGAACCACAGAGCAGGCCTTTAAATCAAATGGAGTTGTATTTACATATTTCACAGGCTTAGTCCTTCTTGTCATTTTTTTCTTAGGCTGTGGTGGCGGTCTTTGAGATTTCTTTTTGTTTTTAGCTTGCGGCTCCTCTAGGTCGTCTAATGAAATAATATCTTCTAGAGGTCTGTCATCAGTAATTATCTGTTCTATCAGAGATATGTTTGGAGTTTTAGCTTTCTGTCTTCGTCTTGTCATACTTGTCGTGGGACTTTCCGAGTGTTTTCGTTCTTGTTGATGATTTTTTGGTCGTAAATTACGTTTTCCCACTTTCGCTGAATCAGAACTGTCTTCTTGAACAGTTTCCAAAGCTATTTGCTCTAATTCTTCTACTGGTATATTCGTGAAATCATCTACGATCGAGTCAGCATTAATCAAATTGTCCGACAATGTGTCGTTATCGTCACCTTCCTTATTTTCATCAATTTCATGAGTAGTTACATTCAGAACAGTCATACCTAGAGTGGGCATGCTACTTGAACACGCGTCTTTGTTTTCTAAAGAGCTGTATAGTTTGAATTTTTCTTGTAATAAAATTTGAATTTCCAAGTCTATTTCCTTCATTCTGTCTATTACACCTTCTGGATTAGACATTGGTGTAGAGGTACATTCATTCACTTCTTGGAGATGTTTAATTATGATAGGGTCAGTTTGGACAAGTTTTGTAACAAACCTTTTTCTTTCTGTTTGAGTAAATCTATTGGCATGGATCCCGGTACTTTTAATTTGATTAGTTTGCGTTTCTTTTGTTATCAGCCTTCGAATTACTTGAGTACCAGCATGTTTCATTTGTGGCGTCTTGTGGCGTGAAGGAGTTGTTGCGCCTACTTTGAGTACATCCTCAGGGGTTTTTGTAGGGGTGACAGCAGTAGCTGTGTTTCTGTGTGCTTGGTGTATAGTAACTGTCTTTTTGGGCTGCTCCACAAACATATCAAAAGTCTTAAGTTTATTTTTAATAGAGTCAGATTTAGTTGGAGTTTGATTGCTTGCATTAATATTATCTTTAGGACTTAAAATAGTTTGACTTGATGTACTAGAATGTCTCTTTCTACTTGATTCACCATCTTTCTCCCTTTGTTTCTTAGGAGGATCTTTCCTCTTGACATATTTATCAGAATAACTTTTATCGGCTGCATCAGCTTTTTTGCTATCCTTAGGTTCCTTTGATGATTCATCTTTATTGGTAAATATACTAAAATAATGCTTTGGGGCTTCATTGCACTTTTCTGTTGACTTAGATGAGGTATTACTAGTACTAGAGCTGCTTGGTTTATCTGACTTTACTGGATCTGGTTGGCTACTGATACTTTTCTTACGTTTTTCTTTGCGGTGAGAAGGTCTTTGGTCAGTGGACCGTTTTCTTGAACTTGATGGAGGTGATTTAATAGTATTTGAGCTACCTGCTTTATCAGTCTCTTTGTCAGTATCTTTAGTTTGAGGCACATGCTCTTGTTTTATTTTAATATTTTTCATATTATGAAGATTGCTGTCAGAAGTTTTTGGGGCTGGTTGAGTCTTCGCCGTCGTACTTTCATTTCGAGAATCGTAACTTGTTACTTCTTGCTTAATCCTTATAGCAATTTCTCTAAGACTCTCTGTGCTGCTGACTGGGAATAAATCCAATGGAGCTTGAGCAATTGTTTGCAATTGCTGTTCAATTTCATCATCAACCTGTGGTATTTCATTTTGAATGGAAGGAAAATTGGGTGGAGTTCCTTTAGCTGAGAGATCATCATTCTCAAGGAAGTTGTGGTCGACAGCCACATGATACTGGCGGTCTAGCTCAGCAAATGTATCTTCATCTTCAGATATTTGATCTGAACTGTTGAAAAGAGGCATTGGTTCTTCTTTTCCTTTAAAAGGTTCCTCAACAGGATTCTCTAAGCTTTTCCTTATGTTTTTCCTTTGGTTTTCTATACTCTGTCGTCTGTCCTCAATGGCCTCATGTCGTTTTGATGGGCGCCTCTCAAATAAAGGCTTTACATCTTCATATTGTGGATTACGATGATCATAATCATAGCTCACACTGCTACCATCTACAATATCAACTCTATTTAAATTATCATAATTGATTGATGAAGTTTGGCTTTGATCATAGCATCTATCTTGTGTGTATTCATCATAATTGTAGTTATCTCCATAGAGGTAATTTGATTGGTCATCTGTTGCCTGTTGAGGGACCTGATCTTCAGGAGTGTCATACCTTTGGTCTAAATCTGAAATCTGAAGTACCCTGCTTAGCTCGGCCATTACAATGGGCTTAATATCCTCAAGTAATACAGTATCTTGTGGATCTAATAGACACTGCATTTGTTTCATGAAAGTGTCCTCATAGATTGTATTCTTGTCATTTTGTATGAAGTCAGAGCTTGTACTATAAAGAGATTTCTCAGCTACAGATCTTAAGTGACGATTCAGACTATTCTGTGACTCAGTAATTAAACTGCTGATAGCATATTCAAATTTTGTCGATGAACCTGGATCATCCATGAGTTTATGCATTTTGTCTTTATCCATCTTAAACAATTGATTAACTATATGTGATTTCATTTTATCACAATTTGATTTGACGTTAGGTTTGAGTCTTGGAGTTCTCTTTTTAGGTGTGGGCTCTGGCTGAACCTGTGTATTTACAGGCTCTCTCTCTCTGGCCTCTGTCTCACTGTTTCTTTGAGGGATAGGTTCATCTTGGGATGTCTGTGGCTCATTGCGGTTCATTAACCTCTTCCTGATTATATCTACAGTATCATCTACAGAACGGCTAAATGATGTGTTATTATTACTGCTATTAGGTCCAGAAGTACTGCCATAGTGATCTGAAGCTGGTGGCCTGTGGCCCGTGTAATCAGTGTAATCTACAGCAGGTACCTTATTTTTTTCTGAGAAATCATGTCTATAAGGTTTTTGATTCCTCTCTTCATAAGAGCGCTTTTTATAATCAGGAGGTGGATTCGTCCATTGTGGTATGCGTGACTGGTTGAATGTATCTGGTTGCACAAGTGGGGTTAGTCGATGGTCTATGTCTCCCATACTATTGACATGGCAAGCCTCAGGCTGAGCATCTTTATAGAAACTAGATGAACTTTTGTATGTATTACTATTATCTTTGGATCTGTCTCTATGATGGGAATATTGGTTTTGGTAACCTTGTCTTGACCGCTGATGGTGCTCTCTTTCTGGAATTCTCTGATCAATTTGGTGATGGCTATCTCTATATTTATGTCTTTCATGATGTTCTTGTCTGCCATGGTCCTCTGAATGTCCTCCATGGGATGAGTAAGGATGCGTACTTCTTTGGCTAGAACGTGAGTTGGGTGGCGGGAATCTGAAATACATTTTGTTTAATGATAAAACATGACCTAACAGAAATTGATACGGTGCGATTCAATTAACGTTGAATCTATGCAGCATGATCTACAATTTAGGAGTTTTATTGACGTTTTGTCGTATATACATACGCAGATTTTTTATAAATTCAAGGTACACGCGATTGGCGCGTCAGTGATGCAATGTTCACATTAGCTGAGTTATACAGTTTAAATATGCTCACCTAGGGCTTTCGAGTAAAGCATAGGTCCTAGGCGTTCTAAACCTTGGTGTTCCATTGCCTCTAGGCCTAAAATGCCTTTGATTTTCACTTCGCCATCCTCCGATGCCAGGATGACCTCGCCTCATTATTTCACAACTAACACATAATTAGCCACAACACACCGACACTCCGATTTCACTTAATTGTAGTGTTTGAAATATGTATTTTATTGCACGAAATAAGTTGATTATCACAAGAAAAACAAGTTTGATCAATTGTCGCGCCGAATAAAAATACATACACGGACATGGACTCCATTTGACATTAAATATGGATAATTGCCAGTAATAAAAATGTCAAAGTCAAAATCAACAACAATCAACGATATAGGTACTAAATTTGACTACTACAATTTTGTTACTAGATTTGTCGATTTTTATTAAGAAATAAGAAATATTTTTCTGTTTGAAAGAAATAATATAATTTTATTTTTTTTAATATTTTCTCTTTTGTAGTTGTACTTTTTATTTTATATATCATCAATCTAGGTAAGGTTTCGTCCACAAAACTATATGTTAGATTTTAAAACCCGTTTGCTGACATTTCTTAACAATATATAACAATATTTCTTTTTTGTTTCAGACATTTTTAGCATTTTTTACTTCCTTGCTTTTTCACAAATATAAAATTAAAAAAATGAAAAACTACCAAATCAAATAATTTTTTTTTACAAACATTCCTTTTATCTGTAACAGACATTTTACAAACAACCCTTGCGATTGTATTATAACTTACGTTTTATGAAACCATCCGTATCCGTATCCTTCTAAAATACCATCGGTTTATTTTAAAAGATATTACAGAAACATGTCTCATGCTGTCATGCATGCCATTGGCATTAACTATTCATTCTATTATTCTAATCCCCAGGTCCACAGCTAGCTATTCGAGCACCCTTTTTGTTGGGTGGGTAAAAAGTCATCAAATGACTCTTCGAGGAAGTGACTTTTACAACTCTCACTGAATAAAAACCACCCCGTTCCTTCTCCTGCACTTCGAGCTGGAGCTCCGGTAACCCGTTAAGTTCTCCACGGCTCCGTATCGGCATCAGCCCTATTGAGCCCCTATTTATGGTGGTCGGTTGGCTCTTTGAGGAGCGCGCGGAACGCGACGCGCCGTACGCTCGGGTCTGGTTCTGGTCGGGCGGCGAGCCACCTATGCTCGCGCTTACGGTGGCCGGAAATCGTCTCGCGATCCCGATGATTGGTACTTATTGTTGATGGCCTGGAAGAAGCCCCCTTCTCATGCATGAGAGTGCACGTATAAAACCTACCAATGGCAAGTACCAATGGAACTTTTTCCCAATTATTATGTGCTTTCTTAGATTATTTAGACATCACTGACAAACGGTGAAGGAAAACATCGTAAACAACCTGGGCTTACAATTTCAAAATATTACTTTGAAATTTAAATTAAATAAATATAAACAACTTAAAATATAACTAACTAAAAACTAAAATATTTACACCAAAAAAAAAAATAATAATAAAAAAGCTATCTTAGAGCATAAAAAAAATTGTTTTTTCTCGTCGCTGTCGTGAGGTAGGGTGCCCAAAAGACTGGCCGCATTGCCACGTTGAATGGCAATGCGGTAATAGCCCTTCGATCACCTGAAGCGTTAACCTTCCTCCTTACAATATGTTTGTAAAGAAGATGTGCACTTGGGCCCCACAGGTCTAAAGTTTCAAACCCAAATGGTTCGAAAGCATAATTGCCAAACAGACTATTATACTTCCGCCGTTTGAGGTTCTCGGCAGCAGCAGCGGCAGCACCGGTTCTACACACTGAGCGTCCAAGTGGCGTCCTAAAGGCCTACCCATCTTCCAAGGGAATAATGACATTCCGTCAGGTCTCTTGCCATCGTCGCGTACCAAACCATTAGGTTTTAAAGATGCTGGCATGCCAACGGAGACAAGAGCTCGACGAATTATGTCACTAATACCTACGTGTCGAGCAAAACGGCCTGCACTACTGCTACACGACAAGCCGTGGTGTCCAAGACTGTTGACATCTTCACCACAACGACAACGATGAGGTGAATAAAATGAAGCTCGAAGCCTTAAAGAAATAGGAGCGCGGAATGTGGTGTCGTCCAACAAAGTACCTAGGTTGGACGAAGGCAAAGCAAGAAGCCATAACTCCGACTTCCTCTCACCCACAGCCAAAAGGCGAGCTCGCTCTGCAGATGAACAAGCGGAGTTCAACAGATTTTCGCTCACTTTTGTGCAGAGCGGCTCGTCCCATGAGAGTGATTTGACGGGGGGGGCTATATTTGGGCAAGCAATTTTCCAAGCTTTCACAGCTTCCACTAAATATGGTACATCAAAATTAACCAGTGATTGAAAAAGAACTTTTCTGGTTCAACTTTCAGTATCATTGGCGGAAGCCTATCGGGTTTCATATCTTCGATCACGATACACTGGAAATTTTACGGACGCCAAGCCCACCCATGCGGACAGGCAGAGTAGCTTGTGCCCAAGCTCGGTCGTCGAGAAACACATTCAAAATTAAGGACAAAGTTTGTCTAATGATTTGGTCAATTTTCTCCAAAAGAAGGGGTGCTGACCAGAGGTGGGTCGAGCGCAGATAGTAGGTACATAAATTTGGGACCAAAGCAACAAAATCGAATAAATAATAGTGTAGGCCGAATACATTCTAATTTGATATAGTCTTTCTGAAACGACAGAATAATTTTGAATTATTTTTTAATTAATAAAACTTGAAAAAGAGTCCTCGAAGACGGGACGTACCTATAAGGCGAAGCGAACATTTATTGACAACCGAGATATTAGGCGCAAAAGTATTAAATTTTGATAATATGATCTGTCTGTCGGTAGTTATCTAAAAATATCTCACAATTGGAATAATTTAGGTCAAGGCCAAGCATGAAGTTCGGTTTTTAAAAATATTAAATTATTCAAACTCAAAACTCAAACGCAATTATTTCAATTAAACCTTTAACTTGGTACTTTGAAACGTCAACTGTATCTGCATCGCCTCCTACGGTAATAGGATTAATGGCCAGGCCAAAAATCACTGGCCCAAGGGGATCGCCTTGTTGACAGCCAACGGCTGATTCCAAAAGGTTGTCCTGATATAATAATTTGGTAGGGTGTCTATAACATTGCCAGAGAAAACTGAAAATTTCCTTTTTTTACTTTGAATTTGTCAACCCGCATTGAGCAAGCGTGGCGATTATTGCTCACGCGTCCTCCGTGCGAGAAGAGGCCAAGAGGCCTTTGGTCAGTAGTGGCTACTTATAGGCTGTTGATGTGTGATGTGATGTAGTTTGATATTAATTAAATAGATCACGGAAAAAAAAGAAGAAAACAAATTAAACAAATGTTGCCCGTTGTAATTATTATAAAGTGAAATCAGCATAATAAACATAACTGGCAACACTGCTGTCCTATTGTCTCAAGCAAGGCCATCCATTAAATAATGGGCTCGCTGCCATCGCAGCGGTAAGTCCCCTCTTTGAGGAGTGGCTTGAGAGACGCTACGGCGTCCTCACCTACCGCCTGACGCAGGTCCTCACCGGACATGGGAGTTTCGGGAGGTACCTGTGTCTGATGGGGCGGGAGGAAACGTCCGGGTGTCATCACTGCGAGGACCGCCCTGAGGACACGGTGGAACACACTGTCGCGGAATGCCCTGCGTGGGCTGAGCACCGCCGTGTCCTCAGGGAAGTGATCGGCGATGGCGACCTCTCGCGTCCGGGCCTAGTGCAGGCCATGATGCGGAGCGAGGGGGACTGGGATGCCGTCTCCTCCTTTTGCGAAGCAGTCATGCTAGCTAAGGAGGAGGCGGGACGCGTGAGGCAGCGAAGCGCTGCCTCCTCGCAACCCAGCCATCGCGAAGGACACACCGGGCGTCGGGGATCGCGGGACGATCTCCGGCCACCGTAAGCGCGGGCCTGCGGACGGCGAGCATGGGTGGCTCCCCGTCCGACCAGAAACAGACCCGAGCGTACGGCGCGTCGCGTTCCGCGCGCGCCTCAAAGAGCCATCAGACCACCACAGATGGGGCCCAATAGGGCCGATGCCGATTCGGAGTCGCGGAGAACCTAACGGGTAACCGGGGCTCCGGCTCGACGTGCAGGAGAAGGAACGGGGTGGTTTTTAGTCAGTAAGAGTCTGACACTCCCTTCCGCCTCACCCAGGCGGGGGCAGTCATTCGATGATTTTCCCCCCTTAAAAAAATCCATTAAATAAAAAAATATTCTCTTCCGTTTTAAAGTAAAAGTACATATGTATTACGTTATAATTGCATTTATTCCATTGTAATCATAAAAGTCATTAATCCACTGGAAATGTCAAGTTGAACTTTACGCAAAACATCGTGCTTTACAGAAGCCCTTACGGAACCGTGAGGTTACGATGTTATTGTTAAACTTAAATCCAGTTTTAGTTTCTCCAAGGCATACCTACAAATTTAATTTTGAAAAGGAATTACACATTTCAGAACTATCATAAATAAATTCATAGGTAATCTGCGCGAGACTATAACCTAGACTTGTCCGTATACAACTAAATTCCCGCAAGAATTGAAGTTGGGTCTTCAACTCCTGACTTTACTTTTCTTAGGAATAGCACTGCTTCGCGGCCATCAATCAACCTGTGGTCGTAGGTCAGAGCCAGGTACATCATGGGCCTGATTTCAACCTGAAAAAGAAAACCTATATAACAGTTTTACGCACCTATATATGTGGACTTTTACTGTGACCAAGACAGAACATAATATTTATTTAGGGTGTTGCTACACCAATCGATCGATCGTCGATGGATAGAAGTGTGGGAGAGCCATACTTCGGCACGAATGGGCCGGCTCGACCGGAGTGATAACACAGCCTCACAAAAAACCGACGTGAAGCAACGCTTGCGTTGTGTTTCGTCGTGTGAGTGAGGTTACCGGAGGCCCAATTACCCCACCCTGCCTACCCCAATCTCCCCTACAATCCTCAAACTCCTTATTCTCAGAAGGCCGGTAACGGACTCGTAAAGCGTCTGGTGTTCCTGGTGTCTATGGGCGACGCCGATTGCTTACCATCGCCATCGAGTGATCCGTCTGCTAGGTTACCGGCTTATGCCATTAAAAAAAAATAATGCCGTAGATCAATGGTAGAATGAATAAGTCGACATCGATCGATATTTTCTACAAGACAAATCGATAGATTGTCGATCGACGATCGATCGATGGTACAATGGATGAATCAATATCGATCGAGCTGCTGGAGCGCTCCCCATTGTCACCCACTGCTCGTCCGATGCTATCGACTGGCAATCGATCGATCGGTTAATCATTCGGAATCCGTTGATCAATTATTAAAGCTACCACACCAATCGATCAACATCGGTCGATCGATCCCTTAGTAGATAGATCGATTATTGCTTACCATCAGGTGATCAAAAAACTTTGGAAATAGTTCGATATTCCATTATATCCAAAATGATCAAGTACCTATAGGGCGTACCTTGCCGGATACTGCGACAGGTCGTGGTATGATGGCGTGCATGCCCAATATGGCCGACTGCGGTAGATTGATTATGGGCATAGAGAGGAGGGATCCAAATACTCCACCATTGCTCAACGTGAAGGTTCCACCTTGCATGTCAGACGGTGAGAGTCGACCTGTTAGTGGGATATTAGTTAATTGGATGTTTCTTAAAAAAACTTTAACTTTTATTTAACAAATCATTATCCTCCCGCGTGGTTAAGCATCGCGGTAACTTATTAGCATCTGTATTTTATTGCATTGGGTGAGAGCAGTGACACGGCTCAATTTTTTGAAACTAAACTTTGTATTTTAATCAGCAGAATTGTTAACTGTGGCTTAAGGATAATGACGCCGTTAATTTTTTTGGTTTTTTTCTTTTTGGAGAACCACCCAATTACGATTTTATCTACCTCCCTCCCTGGATTTTCGTGACAATTTCAATTTTATAGCATTGTTAGTAAATGAAAAAAGAAGTAAGACTGGTGATAACCAGTTTTACTTCTTTTATTACAAGTTCAGTCTTACATGGGACATTACTAATGTCTAAGTATAATCGAAATCGACAAGGTAGTAAGTTTATTGACCCATAAAAATATGAAACAGAACTTTGATACGTTACCATCCCTAGCTTTCTTTGCTAGCTCATTCATAGCGAGTTCGATTCGTGGATAGTCCATAGAATCTACGTTACGAATGATGGGCACGACTAATCCACGAGGTGTGGCCACTGCGATGGATATGTCCACATAGTCTCTGGAAGATTGTAAAATAACTGAATATTTTAAAACAAATATTGTTTGATGCCAATGTAAAACTATTCTAAATTGTGCAATTTTTGTCAACTATGTAGGGTATGTTCATATTCCTTTAGTAACTTATTAATTGAAAGTAAAATAAAATTGAAGTTTGCAAGACTCAATCGATGAGTGGGAACTCACCACCCGAGTAGTTCACTGCTGAACAAAGGCCTCCCCATTCACTGGAGTAGAAACTAAGTTTAAATTAAAAATATTGAACGAATATAAATTGACAAATAACATAAATCATTAGGACAATTAGGCGGGTTTAGGGCTCGTACACAAAACTGCGATGCGATGCGATTTCGTGCGACATGGCGTCTCCCTGGATGACCATTCCTTCGATGACCGTCAACTGTACTAAACGTATTCTAAATTGAGAAAACTAGGTCGTGACATGGATAATAAAAAGAAGTATGCACTTCTGTTATTGCTTAGGAGATAAGATTTTGATGTGTGATGCGAATCATCAAGTTACAAGTTCTTGCGATGCGTATAGCGCACGCACATATTTGCGGTGCGACGTCGTATCGCAGTTTTGTGCACGAGCCCTTAGGCCAGGTTCAGATGGCAAGTGTTAACTTGTTAAGCGTGTATTTTTAACGCGCACCTACAACTACCTACATGCGTTTTATTCAGCCTAAATAAAATGTATGTAAAGTGCGCATTCACATGCGCTTAACACTTGGCATCTGAAAATGGCTTTAGGTAAAAGGTTCTCTGATAAACCTGGTTGGACGGTGGACCTCTCCAACTGGACTGTAACATTTGTTCCTCGCTTGGTAGCGAAGAAATTATGGTAAATATTCTATGTAGAGGGCTATAGTCCAGTGAACTGTCGGCTTGATGTGATCTTTCGGTTTTTCTAATTATAGTATGACTAAGTACCGATAGACAATGTCTTGGTTGATTATAACTCCATTGACGACTGGCTGGTCCATGAGGGCGTTCGCTGCAGCCTTTATGAACGGTGACATGAACGACAGCTTCACGCCATATTTCTGTGTAAACGTTTTTAAGTTTGCCTTGCGGAACGCCATTAGTTTGCTGAGAAAATAAGAATAAATCTGTTAGGTTTCCGGACGCAAAATTTCCCCTTTCTCAAAAGGCTGGCAGTGGTAATGCCCTTGTAACTCCTCTGGTGCTCCTAGTATCCATAAGCGCCACTCTTTGCTTACCATCAGTTTATCTTTCCGCTCAAGCCTCGAAGTCCTTGGGAGTGTAGTATGAGATTGTTTCGAAGTTTAAAAAGGTAGATCCTAATTTTATTTTGTTCGATGACGAATAATAATTGGCTAATTACCTCAATCAAAAATAAATTATTTCGACTGTTCAATACAATAAAATATTAAAAAATAGTCACACTTTCATTAATTGATTTTATGATCAATTAAATTTAAGTATATTTCCAGCAAATTTTTAAGAAATAAGTATGCTGTTTGAATGTAACATTCTCGTACAAAATTCATAGACAACTATCGTTTTTGACAGTTCGAAAAAAGTATTAAATTTGACTAGTTGGCAAGTATTCAATTGCGTACCTCATATCACATTCGTTGAAGGTTGTCAACATAGCGGTTGTATTCTGCGCGTCTTTCAGCCGCTCTGCTATGCGTAAACGCATTCTATTCATTGGAACCGGATGCTCGGTGCGAGTGCCCGATATTGATTTCGTAGGATCACCAATTTTCAAAGCTGCCAACTATAAATTAACAGGTTTATTAACATTCTTAGTTCGGCTTTTACGTCACATGAAGTTGTTGGATAGATCACACAAAGAACGAGTTAAAAATTGACCGATTGATCATTTTCATATAGTATTTCGGTAGAATTCATAAAACCACACACCCAGAAAGACACATAATATATTGTGATTAATTTGTGGCATTCATAACAATATATTTAACTTGGATTTTGATGGCTGAAGAATTTGGGAAAGTAACCTAGCGTAAAAAAATATTAAAGTAATAATTACATTTATAGGTACCCTACCTACTTACTATCCGTCTTTTATAACTTTGTTAATATTATATATAACCTAGAAGATCAGTATGAATCACAGCGTATAATTACTAATTACAGCTGGAGGTTTTGCTGCTGTGCCTTTAATACGTGCTGCTGCACGAGGGGCCGCGGCTGCAACGGGGGCAGGGCGCGCGGCGGCGGGTGCAGCGGCGGGTGCAGCGGCAGGTGCAGCGGCCGGAGCAGCTTTTGGTTTTGCCGCTGCCGGAGCTGGAGCTGGAGCTGGAGCTGCTCCCTTAGCCGGAGCCACGCCTGTTACGTTCACCTGTTAAGAAGAACACTATTTATTTATTGTTGTGTGAGTGTGTGTAGGTATGTCTTCATTTGTGTTTCTGTGAGCAATTTGAGTTAGTACCCGCAGTAAAGTATGTCTAAAACATAACATGTTAAAATAGTTCTTTTTATCACATTTCATTTAGATCGAGTTGCGACACGGCTGTACTATGAGATGTAGGTGAATGTAGTCTATTATTATATACGTCTTTACCATTCACGGACCACAGGGTCATTTGGGAGGCGTACGAGGGGCCGAAGCCACTGCGCAGAGGCCCTTTAGACAACTTTAATCTAAATGTAATAGACACATAAACCGGCGACTATCCCTGTATGCACTGAAATGTACCCAAGGACAGTCCCCGGTTAGTGTAGAACTATTGTGGATAATGGAAAAAAAGGTAGGGATATGGATGGGTTGCTGTGGACTGGTAAATTGGAAACTATGGATGACTATGGCACCTGCCGAACCAATGTAATTATTATACGTAAAAATGGCAGGCGGAGACTCGCCAACTCACCGACCGGGCCCCGGGAATTGTTGCTAAATATAGCAACAGAGGGACAACGAGAATGTGAGTGGCTGAAGGGTTAAGAAACTACCACCGCTTTCTACTCAGATCATTTGCTCCAGCCGAAGCCTCCTGCATCTCTGCCTCACTTGCGACTTACGATTATAGTTTCTTACCCCGCGAGCAGGATCACTGCTCCCGCGACTCCACTCTGGACGGCCAATGAAGGCAAGCCAGAGAGGGAAAACCTGTTCCTTGTCATCGTTCACTCCAGCCAGCCAATTAAGGCGAGCCGGAGAATAAGGAACGATGATTTCTCCCTGGAGCACTCGGGATGATGGTAGCCCGCGGGGTCGTTAATGCCCGTCACCTCGCCTCAAGGTGCCCAGCGTTCTTGCCTGCGGGCTTATTATTATTATTTGTTTATCTTTAAATCACACAGGTAAGTACCTATGTTATAATTCAAGCCCCACAAAACCGTTGCAATTGTTAGATGCAGTATATAATATAGTTACTATGGCGGAAGACCTGTTTAAACCTTAACCAGTACTTAGGTACGAATAAAATAATAAATAATGAGACCGAAAACAGTTTTTGTCCAGACTTGATAGAATCGCCTTGTTTTACAAAAAATTTAGTAATGGTGCCATGTCCAGGGCACATGACCGGCAGGGCCGTCTTATCCGTTTCAATTTCCATTATCACTTCATCCATTGCGACGGCATCACCCTCCTTCTTGAGCAACCTGAAGAACCATACAATCGTAAAATTAATACTGGGATTAATTATGATAAACAAGCTGAAGTGGTAGTGGGGTGCCACATTCGTCCCAAAACCAGCTGTTTAAGTAGATGCGTTTTGAAACTTCTGAAGATAACCGTTAAACGGCTGGCAGTAGTTGAATATGAAGAACTGGTGAGCGTAGTGGCTATTGGTAAAATCTATCTATCTAGAGATGAAAAGGGTAACTAGAACTTTACAGTAGGCATGCAGTAGTAAATAAAACAAACTTACTTTGCATCTCCACTGCTGACAGAATCAGGGAATGTAGGCGCTGATACAGTTTCTTCGCCACTCAAAACTGGAGAAATGTGCACTCTTCGGGATAGCTGCATAGTCATGGGCATGTGTGTGTTTCGCAATCTGGAGAACGAAACGTGAGCAATAGAGATATTAGTTCATCCCGGTAACGTACATACATTTTTGCCTGCACTGTCGATGTTTGCATGGTCCATGGTGTTAAAACGTCGTCACTTGGTAACTGGGCATAATTTTATTGGAAACTAAGGAGTGGAAATCGTTGGGTGTCTTCAAGGCCCGAGTGACTAGGTTTCTTATGGGACGACGTGCTCCATCGTAGGCCGCATTATCGCTTACCACTAGGCGAGATAGTGGTCAAACCTCGACCGATCAAATATACAAAAAAAACTTTTAGGTAAGACTTAGATGTACAGTTGGTTACTACGCCATCCTCAACCACTACAATACTTGCAAGGAAATATTAAGAATATAAATTTTACTGTCAAAAGGGTTTTCATGTTCTGTAAAGAATTGACCAGAAGATACCATTGAGGAAATAAATAAATTTCCCTTCTATAGACAGGGTTTCCAGTTTTGTTGATCAAGCCATAGTGAAATTACACTCACGTCAAGTACTGCAACTGGGTGGGTTGGTGATATCGCCTGCATATTATATATGTCCTGTTCAAGGGAGTCCCCGAAATGTATTTCCTCCCTCCAAAGACCTGGAAAAATGTCTTTTTATTCCAAAATATTATTAATTCTTTATCGACCTATATTTTTCTATGGCTGAGTAAGTTCGGATTGTGTTCTAGTTATGTGCCTTTTGGGGTCCTTCACTTCAAATTCAAATCACTTTAATGCGTCTAGTGTGTAAGGGTGGTTTACAATTTTTGACAAAATATATTCCAACTATAGCCCCTTCCTTTACTTCTTCTCTAAGACCTTGATGATGTTGTCAATTCCACCTTGCCATTTGTCAATCCAGTTTCTAGTTCACATTTCTGTTTCCGGTTATTATTTGTAAGTCATGGCTTTGGTCCTATTTGGTCTTTTCATGGTGATGGAGGCTCAATGGTAGCAATTTTATACACATTGACACAGAACACAATGAAGTATTTTTAAATGTTCCTACTATTTCAAGAAGGGATAACTAACACTTTGGTACAGTGTCATAAGTACCTACAGATGCTTTACAACTTTTATTCCGCACAAAATGACTACAAAACTATCATCACTTTTTATGAACACTTTTAGGATTATGATGTTTCTCACAAGAGCTTTATATTTCATAGACATGTTCAATAATTGAGTTCAGTGTTGCGACGACTTTTCTGCGATATTCTACTTACCACTCGTATCATAATTGCCTTTCTTCTAAACATTATCAGTGTTTGAATTAAATAAAATTGCTGAAATAGGTAAACCGGGTCTTTGAAAATAATAAATTTAATTACAAAAGAAAATCAACGATATTCAAAGTCATTCTTGATGTATGCTATTCTTTCTTTGTGTATCATTTCAGGCCACAAACTTTAGAGGTTTCATTTATTGCAAAAAGTTTTTAATCTGCATTTAGAGTTTTTATTATTGAGGAGATTGTGGACCGACTAACCTGAAATTCAATGATTTATTTTTTATTTAATGAAGAACTACACGTCTTTGTTAACACATTTATATAAATAATCACAGAAATATTTAATATATCTGTGTAAATAATGTAGGTACAAAGGCAGACATAATGTCATAGCCATTTTCCCTATTTGATGTACAATCTATCCTAAATAGAATGTATTATCTTTTTTTAAGAAAATATTGCTGTCTTTATTTTACAAGCTAGCTAGCGGAATGTGTATTTAACAATAAAAAATTTATTTAAAAATGTACTATTTTGGCTACTCGATAACAGATGGCTCTCTTAAACTTAGTTCAGCTATTGGCCACTAGATACCAAAGTTCTTACTACCCTTCAACAGATGGCGCTTACAATAATTATAATTCTATTTCCCACTAGGTGGCGTTTTTGAGAATGTTGTTTATGTTGCTGTTTTAATGGTTATTTAACTACGTATAGTTATTTAATCAGTTTAGTGGTCTAAAAATTAATAAATGAATGTCCAAAGTTGGTTCCTTTTCGATTAAGAAAAACCAAATAAAAGTGTTTTACCAAAAACCTAAAAAGGTATCTCGGGTTCGATTCCCGAGAAGGGCAAAGTACGGGGTTTTTAAAAAAAAATCTCAGTAGTAGCACGGAGTCTATTAAGTACCTCTATTACATGGGACCATAGATTTACTTATCATATCAGTGCATGGGACTCATAACATACCTACATAGTAAAAAATATGGAGAGTGATCTGTAGATATCTTTTTTGGATTGCACTTGACACATAATATAATCGTCTATTATAGTAATCTAAAATGTAAGAGCCGTCATATAAATGTATGCATTTTGTAGACATAAGTAGGGTTCCAATTTGTGTTTTGAGGCTTGTACAACTGCACATACACCACACACACACACACACACACATACAGACACACACACACACACACACGAACACACACACATATAAAGTAACTAAAATAAAACAACAAAAATCAGATAACTAAGTATTTATTAAGTAACATCTTCATCATCAGCCTGTAATTGTCCCCCTGCTAAGAAAAGGCCCTTCTCTCTCGAAGAAGCATTAATCACCATGCCACCAATTACATGGCAAATTGTCGATTCCAAAATAAGCTGTTAGGAAACATAATGAAAAATATTCTTTATATCTCTCAAACACTTACTTAACAGCAATTATGAAATCAATTCCCCTTTAATGGTAACAAGAGGTCGTTAAATTAATTAATTATTGTGTAGGGAGGGAACGTGAATGTATGAATGTATATTGCAGTGTATAGTGATGTGTCGTCTGGTCCTTTGAGCAACATTAGCGGTAGCAGTGACCACTCAAGACGACGATATGACGACCTTCTTGGATGTAGGGCTGCTCCTGAAATGTAAAAATAAATGTTTTAAGTTCAGAAGTTATTCATTTAATACTGTGTCAAAAATATAAAATGTTTGGACTTTAGCATATAGTTATTACTTATATTATGTCTATTTTTAATAATACAGGTTTGTCAAAAATGTATCTACAATATTATGTTGCTAGAAGAATGTTGTAGTGAGGAGAAGAAAGTTTAATCATTGAAATTTTTTTACGAGATAATCCTGTAAGCGAGTTGACGGATCACCTGATGGTAAGCAATCGCCGTCGCCCATGGACAACACCAGAGGCGCTAAAAATGCGTCACCGGCCTTTTGTGGATTAGAAATTTGAGGATTCGGGGATTGGGGAGAGGGGGGGGCATAATGTCAACATCCCACACAAGTAAAATGAAAGAATGTTTGTCAGCATAACATAATTTTCTATTTTTATAATATTTTGTAGTATATAATGTATAATGTAACAGTTCAGTTGACCTTATTAACTCGTCGAGCACCGTCAATATAGACACAATTAAAGAACAATAGGTTGCGGTCACCGGTGACCGCTTGGTGTTTGACAGTTTATGTACCTAGTTATTTCTTTGAAAATATCCGACTAAATATGGTAAATATTTAAAGGACGTACAATTTAAATTAGGTACATACTAAAAAAAATACATGGCATTGTAGCGCAACAAAATGGAATAAAGCGCCACAAATAATAATTAGACAGCCCTATCCAGTACCCAAGGTACAAGGGGTGTCTCCCTCACCAATTTGCTAAGACTCAAGCAACCCGCATCTTTGATTAGGAATCTCCGCGACCGTTTCAAGCTATCGACTGCTCAATGCGCATTTATCTGCTTGTCTGTGCACCTAATACTTGTGACTGCTTTGACCGACTGTTACTGGCTTTCTATAGGTTTAATGGGGTTGTCTTTACCTATACGTATTCATATTGTATAGTTTGAAAGAACTACTATACCTTATGAAACTTATAGGTACAAATGTGTGAGCATAAAGAAAATGTAATTGCATGACAAGGGCATCCACACGCGTCGGTGGAGACTAAAGAACTTTTTTAAATAATAAATATAATGTGTGTAACACATTTTTATAAATTTTCAGTAGTAGCACGGAGCCTGGAATTGTGCCCGGTATATGGCAATAGGCTCACCTCCTATTACATGGGACTCATAACATAATAATGTATGTAATATATGCATAATGTATACCCCTTCGGGGATAAAACGCGACAGCTAATTGCACAGATTTGGCTATACTGTAGTTTTTATGACCTACGAACTGTTATGTAGTCGGTTAATTTATCTATATATATAAAAGAAAGTCGTGTTAGTTACACTATTTATAACTCAAGGAGGTAGGTTAGAACCAGGAGACGGACATAGGATACTTTTTACCCAATACTTATTTTTTACTTTTAACCGAAAATCAAGGACGGGTATGGGGAATATCGGGATTGCGCGTACGAAGTCGCGGGCAGAAGCTAGTTAGGTACAGATAGGGGATTTTTTTTTTTTTTTTTTTTTAAATCTTACATTTCTTATTCTCCACGGACTCTTGTCCGTGCCCTTGTCATTCCATTACATTTTCTTTTAATAATTTACAGTCAAAATTACTTGTTACAAAAATCTTACGTGCTACATTAACCACATTTTTTTTTTTTCACAAAGAAGGTTGTGTCTAAATCTAATATCTAGAGGTATATATACACAATACATGTTTTATTACATTTACATTAACCTTACTGGATCGGCCCACACGCGCGATGAGCGAGCCGACCTGCTCCAGCAGAAGGCGCCCGTTCACGAGCATGACGTGAGGGATTTAGAAGATAGGGGATTTAGAACCTAACTACTTAACTACTGAAAGGGTGTCACATTATGTAGCTACCTACTGTACATTTAGGAGACTAAAATTGTAACGATTAAATGATTTAATACTAATTATTCTATAACATAACATAACATCACGCCTTTTATGCCTGAAGGGGTGGGCAGAGGTGCACACAGAGGTAACACCCACTTTTCACTACTAATGTTATGAGTCCCATGTTATAGGGGGTGAGCCTGATACCATATACCGGGCACAATTACAGACTCCGTGCCACTACTAAGATTTAAAAAAAAAACCAGTAATACTTTGCGCGACTCGGAACGCCTGGCAGCCGTACTTGCGACCACTCGGCCAATGAGGCAGTATATTCTATTCTATCTAATATTAAAATAGAGTATAATGAAGCAAAATGTTTATTAATTTTAGGTAAAACGAAGGAGAGCGTCAGCTGTGAGTTAAGTTGCGAAGTCTTAAGTTATTAATACTTCGATGTATTGTTTAGGAGATAGAGCCTCGAGCCTGGCTTACTAAGTGCTTCTCGCTTGAAAGGAATAAAGGCGTACGCGTATTTTCTTACTAAGCGTATATATATATATTTTTATTTTAAAAGACTTCATGCACACACTAATGTACAAGGAGGGCTTAATGCCTAGGGCATTCTCCTCCAGCCAGACCTTTGGGTGATGCAGAGACAAAAACAATGGTCGATGCAAGAAGCAAGCGTATTTAGGACTAAACAGAAATACATAAAAGAGGATAGTATAGACTTACATAAGATAAATCCCTATATAAACTTACATGTATATAACATAACAATAAACTTACACCATTTTATTACATATACTACTTAGACGTAACATAACTATACATATTTATGTACTAGCTGTGCCCATGACTTCGTTCGCGTAGAATAGTGATTTACTGCGCTTACCCCGTAGGTAATAACGTGATAATATGTAGCCTATATACCCGACATTTTAGTAATAATCATACAAAATTTTAAGTAAATCCATGCAGTACTTTTTGAGATCATCTCGGACATACATATAGGCAAACAAACAATAATTCTAAAAAACATATTTTTGGCGTCAGTATCGGCTATAGATCACAAGTATTATTTAAAAAAAATCAATGTACAGTTTTGACTTTTCTACGATTTTTTTATATTGTACATATATTATTATGTATAGAAGATATAGATAGATAGATTTAAAATTGTTTTGTAGTATTTTATATAACTGAAAACAGATAATGTAGACAGTATCGTTGGTGCGTGTTATATACATTATATTATCTGTGGCAAACTGGCCACTTTCAAGAGTGTGCTTTCGTAATTATTTATAAACAACTAGATAAGTACTATGTGTTAATAGTTATAGGAAACAATAGGTTTGATATTGTAATTTTAACCAAAAACCCTAAATAAAACTAAATAAAAAAAGGGTGTGCTTCTGGCTAGCTTGTTAATTCACACGTAAAATAATCACTGCATAATACCTCTATATTTGAAAATACTTATATAACAGTGCGGTGAGTAACTGTCTGCTGTGCACCGTGTCACAGAATTTTGTGAACTAGAAATTATAGTTCTGTATAGAGTTATTAGTGTGTATTACATATAGACGAAAACGTACAAAACAATAGCGCGAGGTCCTGTTTTAAATAATTTACCT